TTATTTTAAGATATTTTATACTCTCCCCCCTATTCCCTAATTCTTAAACTAAAATTTTATTTGAGATCATGAATTAATTGATGTTAGACCACCGTTGGAAACCTGGAAGCACCGGATGGCCGTTCCGTCCTAGTATGGGACTCCTCAGCAGTGCGCATCTACGATCCCGCACCCCGCGGGATTCGGACCCAGGACCTACTGGCTTCGCGCCTGAGCACTTAACCACTAGACCACTGAGCCGGCATCCAATGGTGTTAATGTCTAACATCAGCTAATCCGTGTCGTGTAGAGACAGGTATCTACCTCAGTACAATGGAAGGTGGTCGCGCAACTTCGTGGATTGATTGATGTTAGACACTAACACCACTGGATGCCGGCTCAGTGGTCTAGTGGTTAAGTGCTCAGGCGCGAAGCCAGTAGGTCCTGGGTCCGAATCCCGCGGGGTGCGGGATCGTAGATGCGCACTGCTGAGGAGTCCCATACTAGGACGGAACGGCCATCCGGTGCTTCCAGGTTTCCAACGGTGGTCTAACGTCAATTAATTCATGATCTCAACCAAAAATTTAATAATCTCCACAACTCCCATACTGATAAAATTTTATTCACACATTTCCGCCACCTGATCCTCTTAAATTATCTTAACTTTTCAAATTCTATTTAATTATTATTACGTAATCTACCTTATCATTATTCAATTCCATTAATCTCTCTAATTATCACACAATTTATGAACTTCACTAAACTATTATATCACCCAACCTGAATTAACCCCTTTTTTGACCTCTGACCTGTTTCTAGCATATATATATATATATATATATATATAGTTATTATTGTAATCCAGTTATTTACACCCACTTATGTCAATTGTTTCACACTATCTCCATGTAAAAAATTCTATCACAATTTTGGTTTGTAAGCAGCTGACGAGAAACCCCGAAATAATATGAATTCATACTATTCTGCATCAATGTTTGTTCTTGCTCTATTTATAGTAGTTTAATTGACATTTTTAAACTTGGAAACAAGTTCTTTCACTATATATGAAACATATATACACATTACTTAAGATTAGAATTCAGTAGTGCTATATATATATGAATATGAATATCGTACACAAAAATTATGATTATTCTCATGAATATGTATAAAATTATTATATTGTAAATGAAAAATCATCAATCAAAATGATTATACAATTCAACTTACTTAGCATAGAAACAAAAATCAGGAAAGAATAAGAAATGAGGATACGTTGTTGTTGTCAACTAGCAGACAACTATTAATAATTAGTTTGTTTCAAAGATGAAGAATTTTAAATAATTATAATTGTCAAAATCTTTGAATAATAATTAATCTTTAGACATTGAATAGTCTATTTCAAACGGATAAACATTTGTACAAAGAGGCACTAAACAGATATGCGCCACATAAATCATTCGATTTATATGAGGGATGGCATAATGCCCAGGTACCCAAACCGAAGCAGGTGGTGGGGGGGAGGCACACTCTAATAATTGAACAACTTACACTTTTTTTCTGACATTATTTATCAATTCAAATAAAATTTTATGTGATTTTAATGTGGAGATGATTTTTATCACTAACATGAAAATAACTTCGATTGATGAACTAATAGAACGTGATTTAATTGGTGATCTAACATAATGTGAAATTTCATAACAATATAAGTGATTAAAAGCTGGACCTACACATATCACATAGAGTACGTACAGTATAGACCATCAGACTAAAATCTAATGATCTTCATGACATGATATAGCATGACTCACAATTTATGTTATTGGTGAATGAAAAAAAAAACTGTATTCAACTTGGTTGACTACACTTTGTACTAGAGCCTAAGAGGTCTATCTATCTTAAACCTTGTCGTCAGTGAGCATGTGATAGTTATTTATGGAAAGTGGAATATAGTTTAAGTGTGGTTTCCAACACTAACAAATGTCCACTGGATGATATGAAATGAACATAAAGTACCATCTCAGCAAAGAGTTTTGATTCTAAATTTATTTGCATTTATCGGAAGGACGCATTTACAAATCTAAAAAAATTGATATTTAGCAGTAAATAAAAAAAGAGTCACTCAACTTATTTGTCAGTGGTGTTATCTTTGACTTATGCAGACTACAAGTATAACTCGAAATCTACAAAAAATATTATAACGTTGTAATATATATTCTTCTTAGATGATCTGGATGATTACATCAGGCTGATACCCGTGAGACATGCATTCCGGTTACAAACAAATGAATACAGTGACTAATATATCACAACTTAACCACAGTGAAACTAATGTATATAATGCGAAAAGAACTATTCTTCATAAACACAAAAATGGTATTGAACTTAAACGAATATCTTGAAGTAGAATTTCAGGTCTTGATCATGAAGTGATTCATTGATTCTGACAAACCATGTATACGTAAAAATACCTGCATACTGTATTCTACAAACAGTTTGTAAACTCGAAATAATGGACTTTTTGAGATTCATAGATTCTACAGGCAATTAAGTAATTTCATTGTATTCGATGAAAACATGAATGACGAGGGTGTTCATTTATTCGATTGTACAACTTCCTAGTAAACTTAAATATATCATCCATTGTTCCTACGGGTTTTTTTCCCAACTTTCTACTTTTGAAACAATACACGGATTAAGGTACATAAAAACATGAAAATTATACACAAATTCCTAGAACGGTCTTTAAACTGAATAATCATATCGTACAGAAAAGTTAACACGAAAATTTTACGACAGAATAATTTATTAAAAATATGTATACAGCTGAACAGCAACTTAACATGTACAATAAACTATACTACTTGCTAATAAACAGTAGTATAAACAAATAATAAAAATAAATAAGTCAGTAAGTTTGTTATTTACCACAGCAATCTAGTTACTCCAATGATATGTTTACATACACTACTTATATTATATTCATAGTAAACAAACATTTTATGTTGATGATACCTTCATCGTATGTAATAATAAACAACATGCAATAAATCTGCTAGAGTTTTTCAACGAAGCACATCCGAATATCCATTTCACTATGGAACATGAGAAAGAAAACAAGTTCCATTTTCTCGATATCGCGATGAAAAGAAGAAAAGATGGTACAGTTCAACGTTCAGTTTATAAGAAAGACACATGGAATGGTAGTTATCTTAATTTCAATAGCTTTTGTCCAATCAGTTACAAAAAGGCACTGGTCAAAACACTGTTTTACAGAACAGAAAGAATATGTACTTCCGATACACTAGAAGAGGAAGTTATGAATGTTAAAAAATGTTTAAAGAATAACGGATACCCACTGAAATTTATTGAGAAATACGGCAAATGTGAAGTTAAAAAGCCGAAAGAAATTACAGCAAATAAAAAGCCTATTTTTATTAAACTTCAATTCAAAGGTGACGATGTCACAGGATCAATCAATATGAGACTAAAAACTGCACTGACAAGAACTTATCCTGCAGCGAAATTGATTGTCCTGTCCAAAACAACATGCACTTTGACACAATCGAAGGTCGATAGGTATCCCTTTCATGTTACCACCAACTGTGTATACAAATTTACATGTACCTGCCAAAGCAGTTACATTGGTAGAACAGAAATGAGAGCCTATGTCCGATTCAAAGAACATATTCCGAAAAGTTTAAGGTTAAATGGATTGAACGCATTCAACAGTGTTATCGCAAGACATCTCCTTGATACAGGACATAAAGCTGATATACTGAAGTCCTTCAAGGTGATTAACAAACAATCAAACTCGAACCTTTTGAAATTCGCTGAAGCGTTAGCAATCAAACGTTTAAAACCAGATCTATGTGTACAAAAAGAGACAGTAATAAATCTTTCTTTACTCTGGTAACAATAACCCCCACTCTTTCTATTAATTTGCTCCTATTTATTTATTTATTACGTCATTATTGCAACTCTTTCTGAAGTATAAATTACATCATACATAACTGATTGATTTCAATCCATATTTTCTTTATTACCATTAATCTATTTTCATGAGTTCTAATCACTATTTCAATGTTCTGGAACTTTCCCTCTCTAACTTTATTTATTTATTCGAATCAAACATTTTATGATCTCATTAACTCTATCTGAATCTTCGCTACATCATGATACACATGTATTCATCCTTAATCACACTCTTATATATAAATATGTCAATATCTGTATTAATGTTGAATTTTCAAATAATTTAGGTTGTAAACAGCTGATGAGAACCTAACGAAATAAAATGAAACCATGTTATTATTCTGCACCAATCTTTGTTCTTGCTCTCTTTAAAATAATAAAGGGAACTATGTGTATGAAAATTAGAATACATTGATGAATGTTCATTTAATGAATTATTATAATCACATTAGAATAATAGTAGTGTGTATAGATGAGAATACAACAAACCATGGTAAAAAAAAAATGAATAGAAAAGAAAATATGCATACTTTGAAAAATTTGTTATTTATATAAAGATAATGTGTTGACAAATATTTCCAAAGGTTTTACGTACAAACTCAGATTATAGGAAAATCAAACTACGAAAAAAACCAAGTATAGAAATACAATGACAAAATCAAAGGAGAATAAGATATGAGACAAACAACAACAAAAAATCACAAACTGAATAACCATGAGTTAAAAACAAATAAAAGAATGCAATCTATTAGAGGATCATATCAATGTCAATATTGTTAGACAATGAAAGGTTATTCTGTTTGATAAATATACATCGAGTTAACATCTCCTTAATCCGATTGTTTGTCGAATTACAACAGAAGACTATAGAAAGAGAAAAAGTTATGAAAGACGTAAAGAAGAACAAAAAACAAACAACAAATACAAATACCTTCTTATTTTGGTATACAACATTTAGAAATGTCATTCATTGTTGTTTTGTTCTTCTTTTTTTTTTTAAAGAAAATATTCACATTCGTAATATTGTCTTTAAGTTTATTACTTCATGGTATTGATGATAATTCATGCAATTGATTTTGTATATCTAAACTTGAATCTAAACAATCTTTACGTATTTGTTTACTGATCGATTCAATCTATATTGGTGATTATTGGTGTATCGGTCGGTCGGTCAGTCGGTCGATAAAAAGTATGATAAATTAGAACGAGCAGAAAATGAGAGGGAGAAAAAAAACATTTGAATGATGTATATTGGCAAAAACCAAAACCAAAGAAAAGATCGTATAATAATAATATAAATAATTCAATGATTACAATATTTTATACACTTAAACCCTTAGATTAAAATAATATGAAGGAAACTTATGTTAATTTAATTCAGTTATTCAGTTACTCTGAAGAATTGACTTACATTATGTCATAAAACATCAGAATTACAATTTTTCTACTTATTCAGATCACAACAAAAAAAGTATGTTTATTATTAACTGTCTACCTGTTATATCCAGATGAGAATAAATGAGTGGAAACCGTTAGGAATTACTTATGAACTGCCTGGTGATTTCAGTCTTTTCTATTGCATGGTAAGTTTAGTATAAAGTAGGAAGTGTATACTATAGTTGATTCGAATCATAATACAACAAAACACTCAACAGAATATCTATAATGAAACTATGATTTATATTTCATTTAATTTTGTACCCTAGAAACACTTCAAACTTTTTATTAGACATTTTTGATTCTCACAACCTTCTATGAATGGACGTTGAGTGATAACACGAAGGGGAAATATGAAAAGTTTTTCGTCCAAAGTTAGTTTAGTAACAGGCCAAAAGAAATTTCAATGTTTGCCAGGCTGGAAAATATTCCCTTAGAACAATTGTAAATACTTTTCGAACAATATTTAGAATAAGTGACTGAGCAGATAGCGCTCGAAACGAACCGTATTGGGTTCAAGTCTCAAAGCGAACGTTAACACTGGAATGCAAGTACATCCAACTGACGAGCCCCAAATAGGACGAAACGCGCATCTGACATTCTAATACTAGCCATCATCTAGATGGTAGTTGGAGGTAGTCAACAGGAAACCCTGGACCCGGGATTCGTGCTACTTGGCACTCGTCAGCAAGGTGTACCTGTAATCTGCGGTTATAATTTCAATGATTTTATTTTCTAGATATTCAAAACAATTTCAACTACACGAGCTTACTTCAACAAAGAGAAAAAACAGAACAAATCAATGAATACTTACAATATTATGAAACATTATTGAATCTTCATTGTCACTCTCAAACTCTTCAATTTTATCTAAATCCTCTAAAAATCGTAAAGTCAATGAATCATAATTGGCTCGAACAATGTCTAAAACCTATTGAAAGATAATAATAATAATAATAATAATAATAATAATAATAATAATAATAATAATAATAATAATAATAATAAAGAAACAAACAAAATGAAATGACAAATTTATTATTTAGATTATAAAAATTGAGCATATTAAAAATGACATAAATTACTGATTATATATATCATCAGTAGATAATAAGATCTTATTCTTATATTGTCAATGTTATGAATGGACGCAATCCCTTATATATTAATTGTCATGTTATCGATTAGTATTTCATACTAAATGTATTAATGGAGTTATAGTGTTGTTATCCGTTTAGGTAAATAGACATAAAGGCACAGAAATGCAAGTAACTAGTATGAATTCTTGGTGATAGGTCTTATAATGAAAAATGCCTACTGAAATATAATTTGGGTCTAGAAGTTTCATCTTCACTAACTTCAATCATCTAACAACAAACACTAGTTAAGACAGATTTTAATTTGTCCATAATTTACAAGATAAAGACAATATGATGTAATTAAAATACATTGATAAAGCGTTAACACGAAATCTCTTGAATCCATTCAAGAGCATTTGTGTAATTCCATTTTTTAAAGTATGATATTGATTAGTAAAGACTATTCATACTAGAGAAAAAGAGTTTAATATTTCCTGAGGAAAGGGTGTGATTATAAAAGAATGAAAAAAAAACACGTCATTCAAGCTAATGGGCTCAGTCACTAATTATTGACCTGAATCAACTAGGTGAAGTCAAGACTAACTGATTTAGTCTACAAATAAACTTAGACCAATGAATAGAAATTATGCATGACAGTTGCTCGAGATCGAAACGATTTTTTTAATACAATAATTGACTTACTGAAACTTCGTTATTTTTACTTATATATTTATTTACTTGTATTTCTTTACTCTTATTTTCCTCAGTACTGTTGATAATAGTAATGACAATGGCATTCATTTAAAAATCCACGTACTCCATTTTGAGACATAACTTAAGTGTGATTTATTTTATTTTATTTCAACACAGATAATGGTACAAAGAGGCACCAAATACATATGTGCCACACAAATCTCATCCGATATGTGTGAGGGATGTGATACTGCCCGTATACCCAAACCGAAGCAGGTGGTTTTCTTAGGGGGCCATCCCCCGAGCCTTCGACCTGAAGGTCTGACCCACAAGGCAGTGGGGCATCGTAAGGAGATGCAGTCCCATGGAAGCCGGTGACCAACAATTGGTTCATACGCCATTTGTTCCCGCAGGATACTGGAGCCCATGTGTACCATTGGTTTGGGATCCGGTTAAAGCACCGGACATTCGCTTTCCGTCCTCTCATTTTCGTAAACAACACCCGTGGTGCGAGAAGGCAGTGAGTAGGAATTCCCTGGCAGAGGCTATATACGCGTGGCCATGTGAGAGCATTTCAAGAGGGAGAGCGGACTCTCCCTACTCTCAGCCGTACCAAGGCATTTGGGGGCTAAGTGTGATAAGTAGAGAGGTGCTATTAGCCTAAACAAATCAAAATAACAGAGCTAATCGCTGAGACTACTAAGTAATCGCGGTCAATATCATTCATTGTTTTAAGTCCAATTCCACTTACAAATTAATTACTGATGTCGACAATTCAATATATATATATATATATATATATATATATATATATATATATACTTTTATCTGGATCATGAAAAATGTAGTTTAGTCGTCTTGTACACATACATAAAGTCAGTCAGTAACAACGTACATCAATTCAAGTTGCCAACACATACATAAAACACAAACTACTAACTACTTAGATCCAACATAAAATATAATCAGGTCCTGGGTTCGAGCCCCGGGTGGTGCGGGGTCGTGGATGCGCACTGCTGAGGAGTCCCATACTAGGACGAAACGGCCGTCCAGTGCTTCCAGGTTTTCAATGGTGGTCTAGCTTCAACTGACTCATGAGTTCAATCTGTGATAATCAGATACATAATAAACTCAAAGTGAAAAATAAATAAATTGGTATTTGTATGTGTATGTGTCTGATTATGTGTTGATGTATGTATACCGTTTTAGAAATGACATAAACAACTGTATACACACATATCTACAACAAATAACACAACCAATATCGGTTTAACAATTGATTAAATGTTAACAATGATAGTATTCGTCTAAATAGTAACAGTAATAAGTAATATTACTATCATTATTATAACTATTCATAGTTATTATTGTAGATTAAAGAAACAAACAAATATTCAGTAATAGGAATGTCTCAATAAAAAGATATTTTTAGTTAGTTTATTAGAATAAGCAAATACTTTTACTTTAGAATAATTTTCATTTAATTCATGATACAGATTATTGAGATTCAGTTCAGTAACGGATTTATATCATTAGAAAAGTATCAGTTGCTTTGAGATAAATCTTGGAAGTGAAGAAGTTTCAGACAACTAATGAGTTTCAATAAAGGTAGTGAAATAGTTCTTAAATTGTACTAAGTGGGAAATTCATGATATAAACTCAGTACAATTTGAAGTTATTTTGAGGACAGGAGAACTGAACTTTTTAGCAACACTATATTGTGAACAAAGATTTACATACATACATGACTAGAAAGCATCCGTCACTTCACGACAAATGGTGCGGATTGCCAACTAGCACGAAACCTAAGTCCAAGGTTTCCTACCTGAGATCACCAAACACCTCAATATAGTGTATTCGATGTGGAATCCCTAAGATTAGTGTCCACATTGCAGCTTGGTCGAAAAAAACCAATCAACAATAAAAAGTTGGGATAAATATGACATTAATTACTACCCATCGGCCAACTGATTACAAGATTTATTGAAAGTGAAAATTGGATTCAATATTACGGTTAGTACAAATAAATAAAATGAGTTTAAGTGTTATCTCAGTAGCAAGAATCTAAAAAAAATGTATATTACAGGTAATTAAATGAACTGTAAATTTTTTTCCACTATAAATACTGAGACAATATCTTCTAGCTACGATTTATTTTTAATGATGACAAAATTTACAGCAAAGTGATTTTTTTAACTACAACCGATTAAGGCTATGTAAGCGAATTATGAAATATGGAACTTGTTATTCTATTGCATGAACTATATGCACAAGCTATTGAATGTCTGGACACAGTAGCTATGTGAATAACGCAATCGTGTTTGAGGCAAGTGGTATTAGGTCCGAGTCCAGGAGTGAAAATTAACGCCAGGATGCATGTACATCCAGCTGACGAGTCCCAAGCAGGATGAAAAGCGTATCTTGGATTCTACTGCTAGTCACCATTCATCTCTGCTTATAAATAACTAGTAACTTTTAGATACTCAGCAGTTCGTAAAGTACAGTAAAGCATTTTAATTTTCTCAAGTTTAACTGAGTAAAAGCAGGCAACAAAAACGATTGCCTTCAATACATTAGGCCAATCACAGATTGGCTAAATCATAGGTGGACGTAATTGGCTAAGAAATAACTCTCACATCCAAGGTAAAAGACACAATCGGTGGTCTAATTTTCGAAGGGACAGATATATATATGTAGATGAATGAGTACAAATACAGCGATTCAGTTAACCCATAGACTCCCTTTTTCATTGCCAGTGTTCTTACTGGAGTAGGCAGTTAAGTTCATGTATAAAACGACTGCATATCAGGATCAACTAACTCATGGACACTGTATGTCACAATAAATTTAATAAGTTATAATGCACAAGGACGGAGAGGGTAATATTATTTCGAAAATTCATTATATTTATGAACAAGCATTTACTTGATTCTCCGTAAGAGAAGTTACATTATTTAATGTTGAGAATGAAGCAATTTTAGCGTTGAAATGATTAACAATTGATCTGAAAAAGAAAAGAAAACATTCACCCATATATAATAGGGAATATAAAGCATAAATAAAGATGACAAATAGGAGAACTGTTAATAAATAATGAAATCATTGACAACTAACTAATTTAGTAAATATTTTACATAACACATACCGTAGAGTGCTTAACTGAAGTACAACACAAGATGCAGCATCTTTAATTTCCATGACAGTACTAGTTGAATGTTGAAGAGCTATATACACATGAAAAAAGAATATGAGAGTGAGAGGAAAAAATGATACTCATTTAATTGTGATTAAATCTATAACTAACATTCATCATACTTATTTAAACGGTTAATAAGATGAGACACGTGTAGGTAGCTCATATTATTTTCGGAACGACTTAACTCTAACGGTTGCGACATCCTACTGGAGCTTCCAAGTCTTTAGAAGCCAGTCATAGGTAAACGTGTAATAGTGGTAGTAATAATAATTGTTATCAATATTCAGATGGTGAATGAGTTTTATTCTGATATTAATGTTCGTCATAAAAAAGATTTACACGAATATTTCCAATGCATGCGTAGTATATATCCAAGTTCAATATTAGTGTGTTAAAGGGCTATGCTAAAGTCTATTTATAGATTAAGTGAATTATGCCTATGTAAATGGAACCGCACAATCTTGAGACACATTCCTAAATTAAAAACCATACAATTGGCCCAGAAATCGGAATTCACTTGACGATCTAGGCTAGACCACCATTGAAAACCTGGAATTAATGAACGGCAGCTTCGTCTTAGTATGGGACTTCTCAGCAGTGAGCATTTGTGATCCCACTCGTGGGATCCGAATCAAGGACCTTCGGTCTTGCGCGCGAGCGCTTAGACTGTAGACCATTGAGCCGGCATCCGGTGGTGTTAATATCTAACTTCAATCGGTTCATGATCTTGCGTAACCCTTCAATCATGGTCTGAGAAGAATAACTATCACACAACCGATACAGATTGAACTCGTGAATTAAACTGTTTACATAATACGATCTCCATAAACCTCTATGACTCTAGCTCAAATGAACAATAACACAGATTGGTTGTTTATGATAATATTGATAATAATAATCAGTATAAGCACATGATGTACAAAAAACTGTTCAAACTTACAATATTCATAAAGATTCTCAACAAGTAAATGCATACGTATTAATTCATAGTATAAGTTATCATAAACGTCAGGCGATTGAAGAAATTTATCACCATGAAGAATGAAAAAGTTGAATATTTGAAGTGACTAGATGATTAAATATAAAAGGAAGATAAAGGAAAATAAAAATATCACGAAAACTAGAAAGTGAATGAATGGAAGATAATATCTACCAACTTGATATATGTAACTTATTCAGTAACTATACTTTTATTTAATTTTATTTATTATTTAAACACATAAACATTGGCAACAAATACAGACGCGCCATACTTCGTCTTTCGATTTCAGTGACGGCTGAAATACGGTCCGGGCGCCCGAACCGATGAAGGTGGTTTTGTTAGGCCATACCCTGGGCATTTGACCTGAAGGTCTAATCCATAAGGTAGTGGAGCAACGTTAGGAGATACTGGCCATCAACAATAAGTTCATACGCCATTTATTCCCTAAGGATCCTAGAGCCCATATGCACCATTGGTTTGGAACCAGGGTTTTTCAACTCCTCTAGGTGGGCCCTCTATATCCACCAACCCGGTTAAAGCGTCAGACATTCGGTCTCTGTCCTTTCAATTACGTAGACAACGGTATTTACGAACGTACTAGGGTACGATGTTTATGAAACTCAAGAGCATATATGTGATTTATCTCAAAAACCACGATACAAGTATATTATATTCTGGTAAAATTATGTACCCTAAACAATAGTACTTTAAGCAACAACCTAATTTAACGATAATTGGAGACGATAAACAAATCACTGTTTTAGAAATCTAAGATAAACTGCACATAGAATGCATAAAGATTACTTAACATGAAATATAAGAAAAAAGTATTTACTGAGTTATTAGTGATATTGTGGTGTGTGCAACAATAACAATGTTTACCAAGAAGTGCATTTTTAAGAATAGTATTTTCATAAAACAGTTAGCTAATCAACATTCATTTGTGAGATTAAAACTCAATATGTATTGAACCTTGTTACAAACAGATTATAAAGGTTCTAAAAATAATAACTATTAGAGTAAACAACCTTTTGATAAACAATGATTATGCTCTCTTTTAATATTATTGATAACTTAACAGTTAATAAGACCTACAAAACAATAGTCTAATATTTATTAGTAAAATGTTTGTTTATAATAACGAATGTTCTTGGTGGATGAGTTTGTAGTAGAAAAAATATATTAGTTTAAGGGATTTTGCAGAAACTATAAAACTCTTGGAGTTTATATGACGAAGTGATTTTGACTAGACCATTATTAAGAAACAGGAAGCGAGATGGATAGCCATTTTAGTCGTAGTATGGGACTTCACAAAAATATCCATCAACGACTTCACCATAGAGGATCGAACTCAAGACCTTTGATCTTTCGTAGGAATACGTATGCTTTATACAATTGAGCTGGGATCCAATAATGTGCTTGTTAGCTTTAATTAGCTCGCAATATTGAGCGACTAACTTTGATGGTTAACTATCTTACATCTGATATGGTTGGACTCAATTAGCCAAGGTTTCTCACTAGAACCATAGGAATCCCATTCTGAAACTAGTCACTAGTGAGCACAAAATTAGTATATTAGCATAGTGGACTCTTTGCACATCGAATCACTGACTAATCTTGGCTAGACCATAAACGGGAATAAGGAGGCACTGGAACAGACTATTTTATTGAGGATTTCAAGAATATTTATATGGAATTTAATGTCTAACCAATTACTTAAAAAATCGCTACAAAACATTAATATTGATTTTCATAAGAGAGAAGAGAACATCTTTTCTATGTTTAACAAATGTGACATAAAAAATTTCTTTGAGAATAGTCTATATCAAGGACTGATCTTACTAAAGTAAATACTAAAATCCGAGGAGCAGACGATAACAGTTTCATCTTATTATGGGTTTCATCAGCGTTAGCGGATAATCATCATTCATTATTCACTAACGTTATCTGTTTTAAATTGAGCAACATTCATAAACCTCCTATACTAAGAATGAATTTCTTTTTTTAACAAAAAAAGAGTAGTTCTGATAACAACCAGGTAAATAGTATCAAGAATTCTACAAACATAAAATCAATAACTAGATTATATCATACCTTTTCCATTAATTTCAAAGCATCAAGCAATTGTAAATTATTGCAATCCAAGTTGAGGACAAATTTGAGTAAACTTAAAATAACTAATAACGTAAACGAGAAGAAAAGAAAAGAAAAGGAAGGTTTCAGTTATTGATTTGATACTCTTTTTAACAGTTATTCATATTTATTCATAAAGTTACGTAAACGTGTGTATGGATTTGTGCGCGTAGATGAACGATATAGCATTAAGTTATAAGTTCGAGTCTTGCACCATTAAATTCGGTTTTAGCAGTAGTCGTATTTAATTGAACACATGCAGTAGAATAGCATTTAAGTTACATTATTGAACGAAGAAATTAACAATATAAGTTTAGAGTTGTATACACGAGATGATTATCTTTTAACATTAATAATAATTTTTAAGTAGGCTGGTGTAGTAGTTATACAACTTTAATCAACACAAATTTATAAAATGAAGCTTTAGTAGTAATGTGGTGTATACTACTTATGTTGATAGGCATATATAAGATGTAACACCAATCAGAAGTGGAGTGCCTGGCAGAAGAAGGTTGAGAAGATCGAATTGAAGAAAACAGGAAGGTAAACAGAGAGTAATTGCAATAACAGGAATGAAGGAACAATAAAGTTTGTAAGAGATAATTGATGAAAGATATGCAAACAAAGTATTTAATGTGTGGTTTTCGTATTTTACGAAGACATTCTGTAGTTTTGCATATAAAAATAAGTTGGTTATCCCCACCTGAGGTCTCGTTCACTACAGTAGTGAGCCTTGAAAATAAAATAATTTGCCCAAAATATTTATATATGAAGTTTATGAGTTATGTTTTTAACATAACTAATAACAAGATGTGGATTAGCAAGTATAGTGAGATTTAGAGTGGGATACAAAATGAAATGGTTTACATTTTATCCTAAAATATTTATTAGTCTTAATTTGACGTAAGGTGAATAACTATGTCACTAGACGCTCGATGTTAGCTAGATAAGGAGAAGATTAGAAGAAAGTTAGACTCGGTCAAAATCAAAAACTTGACATCAATCCATAAAGATAGTGACAATTGGTCTGAAGCATTTTGTTCAATACAGAGTATTTGAAGCTATAAAATTTTTCTTACGAAATATTAGTTGTTAACATTACAATGAACTTTGTGATGTATTAAAACTGGAGTAAGATAGATATGATCCGATTTTCATCGCTTGAACATCATAGTAACTGTAACTTATTATCAATGGAAATTAACTACCCAGATGAACAATATAAATTGAGAGTAAAAAGGTGATATGTAGACGCCTTAACAAAATTAGAACGCGAATTATTCACTACATAAGAAAAAAATTAGAACTAGTATTCCATTACACTGTCCAATATTGAATAATTCAATCGAAATAATACTTATATTATTAAATTGTTTATAATGATAAAAGAAATCAGACAATGTTTATAGGCATCTGTTCATAAGGATTTGATACAAATGTGCATTGGTTAAAAAAGTAATAATAAAAGAAATAGTAGTGGTAAAAGCAACAAAAGAAGAAGAGATTAAACAAGTAATAAAAAGGAGTGAGACCAAAATTTATGAACGACCTTTGAGTGACGCTAAACTGATCTTGAGAGGGTCTACCTAATAACTAGAACTAAATGACGGTTATAAATTAGTGTGAGGAATTCCAATTATGATTTACAGTTGATGGTTAAGGTTAGGAATTAGATTTAGGGTTTTCATTACGAACTGACATCATTTATAATGCCAAGACTCTATTTAGCCAAATGGATGAGTGAATTTCGGGCCAAAATCCAAGATATGTTATCTTATGCCTGATTGGTTCGTTCATAAATTATAGTCTCGTCTAAAAAGGAAATGTATTTTAAAAAAGAGTGAATACATTTGTATCATGGTTACTTATTTCAATCCATGTCATTCAAGATTTTCAATCATTGATTACGACAATCATGTGTACTTCCACAACCAAGAAGTGTAAATAGGCAAAGCTAAATCTATGATAATTATGAAGCTATGAGTCTGTTCTGTCAATTTCTAAATGTACAGGCCAAAAAAACTATTACAGAAAAATTTAGAAAAGAAAATACATTTTTAAAGGAACGATAACAACAACAATAAAAACAGAAAAAAAAGTATCTAACCTATCCATAATGATTTCCAGTCGAATTCCAAACGAATTTTATGCATTTTCTGATAACATAGTAAATTTTGACATACGATTAAACAAAGTCTAAGAAGAATAGATATTTAGAAGCGGAGGGCATGACAATAGATTAAGTTTATAATGAAAAGGAAAATAAAAGAGTTGTTATTAGCCATGAATTAACCAGTTACATTCCAAGTATATCATCATATCATTATTTCCCATATGAAACTAGTTCAGTTTAATATGAAATCCAAGTCTTCACAGAGAAGAAATCATAAATATAAGTAGATATACGATACTATGGACAATTGCCTACAGAGACGTTACTCACTGAGATGACGGGATAAGATGATATTGTTTAGGTCAATTCTTCCAATATCAATTCATTGTGAAATTCAATAACAGTAACGTTTTATGGCCAATCGATCAATTCAGTATAAAATTTGTTTTATACGACAAGTGAGTAGTGTCAGTCGGTGTGACTTGTTTATTCTCTGTATTAATTCAGGTGGACCATAATTATTGTGTGATTTTAAAGTAACTCTGAATTCTGTCTACGTATTAGTACCATAACGTCTGCGTGTAATTCGGAGTATAAATGATCATATTGCGGTCTAAAGATGATGTGATTTGGGATATGTTTGTCGTCATGTTTTTCATTCAACAAATTTTCACTGAGCCAGTCTTTCGTGTTCTCACTTTAAGTTGTGGAAGTTGAAGTAGTTCCCGTTTTCCAGTATAAGCAATAGGATCAAGGGATAGCAGTGGTTCCCAAATGTCAAGTAAAAGCAATAAGACTGAGGATCCATCGGAGTTGATACATACATAACCGCGACGACTCCCCAAATATAGCAGTTCGTTGTCCAGCTACAAAAGTCTCAACTGGGTCAATTTTACAGTTACAACACTCATAAAAACAGAAGTTTGTTATATCCGAATTATTTATGGAGTATTATTGCACATTTTCTTACTGGATAATTATTAAGTAGTTGGATTATACCCCTATATATATATTCCTTTTATTATAAGCTTCCATTTGATCTATTGACTATTGTTATATGATTTACTACTCTTAACTTATTCCCAAATTATCAGTTACAGTATCTCACACTCAGCCACGTCTTGCCTGATCTTGTATAATTGTTATTTTCTACTTTATGGTGTGATACAGTCTGGTCTGCTTGTATATAAACGAAGTATGTCTAAAATATACGATTCATACAGCGGAGGCTGATATTTATGTACTGAACTGGATGGGGTGGGTTAGTCAAGAAGTTGATACACAGAGGACCAACAAGAATTCAGAGTTGACTCTAGGCTGCTCGTACTGGTTCATGCGTCATTGGTCTGGCACAGTGCCAAGGTCATATAAACAGGTATCCTATTGGCGGTTCAGTCACGTGATATATTAACAGGTTCATGGGACATAACAGTTGTCCCAGATGGTAGAATAATTATGTGTGTAATATCGCGAAAAGATGTAAATTACTTGCTTTCAACTTAGTGCATTGAGAGTCATGTGTTATTTATTGTGAAGCCTGAAGATCTTAGGTTCGATTGGTAGCGGAATTGTGCTTTAGCACTGTTAAGACGTTTCATACTAAGATTAAACATATGTTCAATACTTTCAGGAGTTCAATACTTTCACAGTAGAAATCAGACTATGACAAAGAATATGATTATATTTAGTTGTTCATAGTAAAATGAATAATTCACATACTTATATAAACGATGTGGAAGTTTCTTCATCAAATGTCCATGAGCAAATTCTATCATCAAGTCTCAGTTGGAAAAGTAGATAAATAAACATAGATGTAATCAAAAACCGGAAAACATACAGTGTAGTAAGCTTATGATAATACTAAGTTAATTTGATTGAAATTATAAAATGATTTTTATCCTATAAATTTCCATTATTAATAGTTTCATGTTTATCAATCAATGTATAATCATTCATTACGGATAAATAGTAATTTCAATATAAGGTAGGGTGAAAAGTCGAACTCTACGATTCATGATAAACCGATGTTTAGGTCAAGGACTGGTTAAATCAGCTATATCAATAAAAGGTAGTATTTGTCACAGATTGATCTCATTTGAAGTAACATTGGGAACTAGTTATGATTAATAGATTACGTATATGCTGGGAGTGAATCAATTTTCACCAAAGGCATTGAATGGCCGTTGTGGTAGAATGGAAATTCAAATCGTACTGTTGTGAACGAACACTGGAGGTGGGGACAACCAATTTATTGTTTAATACAAGATTACAGAATATCTTCATAAGATATGAAAACCATACATTATATACTTCATTTGCAAATATCCCATCAACTGTCCTTCATATTCTGTATGCTTCGTCCACCTCACAATTCCTTTCTATTTCCCTTTCTGTTTTCTTCAACTTGATCATTTTAGCTTCCTGATGCCAGGCATTCCACTTTTGATTAGTGTTGCATACTACTGATGTCGACAGACATTAGTACAATACAAGAACACGACCGGATGTTGATGTAGTAGTTCTAGAGCTTGAGCATTTGACATCAGATTTGAAAATACTGGGTTAGATCCCCAGTGAAGTCGTGCGTACGCACGCGTAAAGAGTTCCATATCATGATGAAATAGTTGTTCAGTGATCTCTGGCTTTCAATTATATCTCATTTGGGATTAATCTGTGACGAATGCAACTTACAAATTAAACCAGTCTTTACAAAAACCGCTTCAAATAATTCAGTTAAAGTCCAGAATATACATTATAAGAAGTTCTGGTTATGAAACTATACACTACCAAAAAGTGGCACAAAAAGCAATGTTAGTTAAGTTTCACATATTCACCCTTCTTACTACAAATTACAGGATATCAATTATTAACTACGTGTAATGACACTGCATTAATGTGATTGCCTTTAATCGCCGTTTCCAACCAAATTCTAATAAGGCCATCATCAAATTGCGACAATTCAACATTCGGACAAACTACTGAAGTCAATAAGGATACTACACAACCTTGTCAATTTTCGACTATCATATATAACTGACTAGACTATCGTGACTAGTGAAAATAACTCTACATAAGAGAAACGACTCGAAATCACTACAATTCGTTATATCATAATGGGTTTTGTGGAGATTTTCAGAAATTTCACAGGTCGGAATCATGAGTCAATTGAAGCTAGACCACCATGGAAAACCTGAAAGCACTTTCAGGTGCTTTCACAGGTTGAAATTTCTAAAAATCTCCACAAAACCCATTCTGATAATAATCAACTGCTCACTAGTGACTGATTTCAGGAGATACTCTTGGAGTTCTAGTGAGAAACCGTTACTAGTGGAGTTCAACCAAGTCTGTTATGAGATATCAGCTCACTGAAGACATTGGTGTACGGTGGTGCAACTTCATGGATTGGCTGAAGTTGGACATTAACACCGTTGGGTGTCGGCTCAGTGGTCTAATGGTTAAGTGCTCGCGCGCGAAACCAGTAGGTCCTAGGTTCGAGTCCCGCGGGGTGGGGGGTTGTAGATGCGCAGTGCTGAGGGATCCGATACTAGGACGAAACGACCGTCCAGTGCTTCCAGGTTTCCCATGGTGGTCTAGCTTCAACTGACTCATGATTTCAACCTGTGGAATTCGTTATATCTTGATAAAATTTTGAAAATACGGAGAACAACTTAAAAACTGTGTAAAATTCAGTTTGATCGATATCAAAGAGTAGTATAAAATGGTATTGAATTACGCAGAGGTTATTCAATCAAGAAAAAACTCACTTTTATTTGTACGGTACAACAAGCGTAACAATGAATTCACTATGTCAATTCATGGGTTTTAAGGTAAACGATAGTTTAGAGACCGGTTTTGCCATTATTATGAGTCGTAGACAAGTAAATTACTTTTTACCAAGTCTATATTTTCAGACAACGTTTTATGCTCCATTGCCTTAGGACCGGACGGAATATTATACAATTTTACACTCAGACAACCATAGTGACAACCCATCAAAAGTTAACAGTCAGTTAAAACAATCTCTTTGAAATCATTAATACCTACAACATGAATTGACCTCAACCATAGAAGAGAGCATTTCAGTTAGTACAACTTTTAATTTAGCTAAAAGTACTAAAGATTATAAAATGACAAAACAATATGTCAACAAAAAGAAGTAGAAAATACAAACCAACCTAAAATAACCATAGCAATCGGACGACTTGTAAATGCATTGTAGCTTTTCGGATCAGATTTACGTGAACGCTATTGAGAAATGAAAAAAAAAGAAATACACTCAAGACAGATTTGCAGAAAATAGACATAAACCTTATTTCGTGCTGGACTGCATGTAGGCTAGCTTAGCGGTAAATACCACAAACTGGAGTGTTACACATAAATTCTATGCCCTCTTGAAACCGATGTATGGGATTATTGGTGTTCAACTTTGTGTTGTTGATGAAAAGTGCAGCTAAATGTGTAAATTAATCCAAAGTGCATACTGCTTTGAACATTGACAACGCATAATGCGGTCACACCTGATCAATGTTCAGCCTGAAGTAAACTAGGTACTTTAATTTGTAATTTCGTGGTCTGGAAAGCTAAGACTAACTCAGAAATGATACGAAACAGGAAAATTCGATCATCTAATTAACATAAAGGGTTGCGGTGTTAACTGATTGTATTTGACTTATTGTACTTCCAATCCAGTACTCTGAATGTCAAAGTGCAGAAATCCAACGGCGTTGCAACTATGACCCCAGTCCTCTAAGCCTCATGACTCAACTCCCCGGTTGGTTAACCTGAAATGAAATGGACACTTACAGGTATAATTGGGCTGCGAGCTATCAAAACCGATTCAACGGTACTAACTCCCCATCTGAACGTAGTTCTTGGACCAAGTAAACTCCCAAATCTCACGACGCCCGGAGTAACGTTCATGCCAAAATATGTAATACCAAGAAACGCAGCGAACTATCATAGCGACCACAAATACCCGATGTCTTCATGATATCCTGGCGAAACACTGATTGCCACTTTTCCCAGCCCAGTGTTAACATGAACACTGAGATGCGAGCAAGTACACCAAGCTGATGAGTCCCACACAGGACGACGAAACGTGAGCCTTGGGTTCTAATGTTAGTTACAAATCTTGTATTGTAATAAATTTTTACCACAAGGATAAATTGTAAATAAAAGCAGTGAAATAAAACAACACATGAAAATGATGTACAAGCTATTAACTCACAGATTTATGTATTCTAACTTTAAAACTGGTTTGCATATCATGCAATAAGGAACAAGCCAATTGATTCTATAGGAAATTACAAAACGACGAACGAAATTGGTTTATCACTCCCGTATTTATTAAGTGTACGCATACAAACAATTTTCTACGAAAAATAAGTGATGTTGTGTAATTCTCTGGTTAAAATTTGAAAAATCACATTAACGCAGTTATATAATGGAAGGAATCAAAAAAATACTAAACCCAGATTTATTTGACATGTATCTAGACGACAGAGTAATTTCAACATGGTTCAAAGAGAAAATTGAACGATAGAATTTAATTGGTGCAAAGAACTAGATGGAGATGGTATTAAGCAATACTCAATTACTGTTAATATCTTGTAGGGTGTAGAGTGTCGGTTGTGGACACAAAAAGTCTGTGGTAACGACTCAAACTGTAAAACTGGGTGATCTAGATTCGAATTCACCAGCGAGGACCAGTTCCTTTCAGATTGTAGATATGCTTTATTGATGAGTGCCAACCAGCAAAAAACCTGGGTTCAAAATTTCCTGCCAACTACCACTGACCAAATTACATGTACTATGGTTATGATCTATTTATCAAAATCGAATTTATCCTAATATAAAAATTTTGTTCTGTTTTGTACTGATAGGAAAAGAAAAGAAAAACAAATTTTTTCACTTAATCAGTCAGATTATGAGATCATGAAGTTCTAACATTTACGATGTCTACTTTTGAACTGCTTCTTTAATCTTTTCTCACTTTTCATTTATTTCTTACTTCAACTTCAATACTTTGAAAACTGTCAGTAATCCCGAAGGTGTATATTCTGATCAACTTATGACCACATAATTGAAGAGAGATATTTAAGATATTATTTTAAGCAACTGACTAGTGATAATTATATTCAGCTTCAGTTATTTATCATACATACAATGCATTCTTGATCTAATCCATTCGAAGAGCAAAATCTATGTAGATAAAAGTTTAAAGAGTAAAATAGAAAGATGTAACTAGATCTCCATTGTATGGAGTACAAAACTTGAAAAGCGATAAGAATCTTCATCCATGTTATGGTAAAATATTTCATAATCATAGCAATTATGTTTGAAATGGAGAATTCAACTAGCCTACATAATAGACAATCATGTAACTCAGTATGTTTTAAAACAATGTTACTAACAGCAGGTCATCATTATCAGCAGTGCTTTTCAGAATATCAACGTTGTTTTCTTTTTCTTGTGAGAAAAGAAAAAGAATGTTCTAGTAATGAATACTTATAGTTCAAAAACAAACAATGAAGAATAAATATAATGAATTCTGTACAGTTTAAAGGCTCAATATTACTACCCTAAACAATGTATACATTTATGTATTTTAATACAATTTTATAAAAGTGAGAAACAATCAAGTAATTAATGATGATTACGTTATGTGTAGATTCTTAAAATTTACTCGGTGTTATGTAATAGATCACACATCAGTGTAGTGCTCACAGATTTAACTGATTTATTTCTTAACTCGATTCAAACATAGCTTTACTACTACTTTAATTTTTTGATTGAAATCGTGAACCGATTGATGTTAGACCACCTCAATTGAAAACCTGGAAGCACTGGACGGCCGCTTCGTCCTATTGTAGGACTCCTCAGCAGTGCGCATCCACGATCCCACTCGCGGGATTCGAACCCAGGGCCTTCGGTCTCGCGTGCGAACGCTTAACCAACTGGACCACTGAGCCGGCATCCAATGGTGATCGTTTCTAACATCAACCAATCCACGAAATTGCGCGACCAACTTCCGTTGTACTGAGGTAGATACCTGTCTCTACCCGACAAGGATTAACTCCACTGGTCACGGCTTCTCACTAGAACTCCGAGAATTCCCTCACGAAGCTAGTCACTAGTGAGCACATGTTGATTACTAGTATAGGGATTGTGGAGATTATTAAGTTTTTGATTGAGATCATATTAAGAAGTAAGCGACTGGAGCTATCACTTTAAATTAATAGGCATGTTAGTCTATAGTGACGACTCAAACAAGGTAAATTAGCTAGAGTACATGGTTATTAGATTCATACGAAAGTAGGTAAGTTTATTGGAGAACAATAAGATCAAAGTAAATCCCAAAGATCAATATGTTGAATGTACTGCCGTGTAATGGAAAATCATCACTCCGAGAGGCGTTACTTTCTCACAGACAAAAAGAATGGGTTACTAAATATCATCCTTGATAATAGTATTCTCCACATGCCTCATGATTTTCCAGTATTTGTGATATGGTTTAATAAATACAGGGTTAATTCAACATAGGGTGACTAGCATGAAAGATTCACTCATTAGGGTCATACATTCTGATATTAAATCAAGAAAACAATAAGTACTAAACCATATTGTTTTCCAAGTTTCTCAATTAGAAATATCATTTCAGAATATGTGGGACAAGAAATGTTAGTTACATAAACACACCTTCAACAGCTATCAAATCCCACTGTGTTTTCCAACAAACGATTTCCTTGTCTCCTGACCTAGTTCATAGCTCAAATCAGTTGATCATAGTCAGTGTAGAGCCTAGTACACATGTGCATCATCCTAAGTAGCAATATTATTTCACCACATTGTAATTATATTAATAAAACAAATATAAAGTTAGTTGCGATAATTGGTCACAGCAAAACTAAACACAGAATATGGGAGAATGAGATAACAGGATAAAAAGTATAAAAAAGACAATATTCAAACTTGAGATTTATAAGAAAATAAGAGTGCATGTATCTGCATAACTATGACTGATTCGCAACCACAATAACTCCAATCATCGGTCTTAACAATTACGTGGATCTTGACTACACAAACAAAGGTCAGACCAATAATCAATGACTTGGCGACTAATGGAGCGCCTTGGTTTATCTACACTCCTAAATATTTTCCAATCCATTCTTACACCATCCAGTATCGATGAAAGTTAAAATAATTTATAAAAATCACTTGTAAGATCAACAATAAAAGAACTAATAAATTCAGGCTACTCAGTCATACCTGAGTTATACAGCAAAGAATAATTAAGCAAAGATGACAACTGTTTAGTGATTCCGGAGCTAAAAAAAGACAAAAGAATTTAAAAATTCAACATTCAATGATAAGAAAATAATAACAAAGAAGAAAACACGACTGAAAAAAGAATGCTCATGAACAAGTTATTCTTTATTAAAATAACCAGACAATAAAAATAGTAATTTGAATGTCATGTTTCAAGCTCTTAAAGTCTTGAGAAAGCTTTCCGACCTTCTCCGAAAAGCTAGGCGCTCTGATGTAGTAATAGTGGTTGGTGACTTTAATGCTCAAGTAGGTAAATTAAGCGAAAGGGAAAGACACCTAGGTGGATCTTATGGTGTCGTGGCTCAAAGAACAGATAATGGCGACCGTCTGATGGAACTATGCTCAGATAACCGCCTGTTTCTTGCAAATACTATCTTTAAGCATAAGAAAAAACATCTTTTAACATGGTGACCCCCTAATTCGTCCCAAATAGATCACATCGCTATCAGCCACCGATGGAGGGGCTCGAAAGAAAACTGTCACTCATTCTGGAGCACATGCTTAGATTCACATCATGCTCTAGTGCAAGCGCGTATTTGTCTGCGTCTTACTGGATGTAACAAAGACGCTGCAAGAAAACCTGTTAGGGTCCTATTTAATGATAGTCAAGCTAAGAGTATATTTCAGGAACAACTAGGAAAACAGTTAGGTAGCCATGTATGTGATGCCCACCCCGAGGCAGCATGGAATGATATCCGAAAAGCTGTGGAAACAGCAGTGATATCTGCTAGTACAGTAAACCGTAAGGTTAGGGAGCAACACTGGATCTCAGAAGCATCTACCGCACTGATAGATGCTCGAAAACTCATTCAATCTGGATCTGAACATAACGAAGAGCGGAGTCAGCTTAAGCGCAAGCTGACAAGAAGCCTACGCAATGATCGTCAATAGTGCTGGGTAGCGAAAGCAAGAGAGCAAAAATGAAGATTGGTGCAGAATAATATGAACTCATTTTAGTTCGCTGGGTTCTCATCAACTACTTACAACCTATAATATTTAAAGTCAAAGTTATCACAGGTATTGACATATAATAACTACGAAGGTGATTAGACATTAATCACATGTATCTGCCAAAGCAGTTACATTGATAGAACAGAAAGGAGAGCCTACATCCGATTCAAAAAATATATTCCAAAAGTCGATTAAAAGCATCCAGCAGTGCCATCTCGAGACATCTCCTTGATACTGGACATCAAGTCGATACATTGAGGTCTTTTAAAGTGATTAATAAACAATCAAACTCCAATCTTCCACAATTCGCCAAAGCGATAGCGATCAAACATTTAAAACCAGATCTATGTGTTCAAAAAGGACCACTAATAAATCTTACTTTGCCCTGATAACATTACATCCTTTTTATTGCATCACTTATTATTTAAACTCTTTTTTATCTTTTGGTTATATCATTGTCACTTTTCGTCAATTCATAATTCACTGATTTCAACTTATATCTTTCTTTATTACCATTAATCTGTTTTCGGTTACTTCATTACACAATCATCTAATGTTTGTTAACTCTACGAGTTCTAATCACTATTTTAATGTTCTGGAACTCTCCCCTCCAAACTTTATTTATTTATGTATAACAAATTTTTTATGGTCTTATTAACTCTATTGAAATCTTAGTTACATCATGACACACACATTCTCATCACTAATCGCTGTCGCATTTATAAGTATGTCAATATCTATAATAACTGATTTTCAAATATTACTGGTTGGAAGCAGCTGATGAGAATCTAACGAAATAAAATGAATTTATATTGTTTTTCATCAAACTTCGTTCTTGCTCTACTTATATTCTTCAGCTTGCATATAATTTATATTGAAATTCTCTAATGTCGTTTCAAATATGGAAGTAACACTAAATCATAATATTTTATTGACAGATGAAGAGATAAGCGATATCAAAACGAATGTTAAAAATATTCCGCACCTCACCAATTTTCTATATGCACATATCACATAGATTAAAAATCTGTTCTGCTGTCGCGTTATTATATTTTACCTTTTCACTAGCAATCCCACTTTTATCTTTGTTAGTTATTGATACTGTACTCGATAATAGCGATTTAGTGGCTATTTGAACTTATTAACTAAGTGAATCACGCGATAGAGTTTGCAACGAACAGTGCTGAGTTTGAATCCTGGAGGGAACATCAACTCTGGAATGCAGGTAATTGCAGCTGACGGGTCACAAACAGGACTGAACCAGCGTCTTGGATTCCATTGATAGCTACTATCTAGCTCTGCTTAAAATGCTTGTGACTTACTGGGAATATTGAACCAATCCATACAGGATGCATATATGTCAAAAGAGACAACAATTGCAGTCGTAAACAACAGTGGGAGGATTCAAACAACCAACATATATGAAATTATATTTGTATTCCTGATTTATTCTATTCTTAACCATTCTAGTCAGTTTGTAATTCCGCCAGTAAGTAGCCATTTTGTGTAGATCACTTGAAAAGTATCAGGATTTAATCGCTGCGGGTTGGATGTGAAGAGCGCTTGATTTCGTTATTTCGTTGCTTCCCCGGAATTCGTTGAATTCCTCTTCTGAATTCGGTGGATTTTACAGTAGGAATGAATAAGGTTATTTATTATTTACTATACTTGTTTATATAACAATTCAGTTGGAATGAATCCTTGTTAAAATGAATAAGTATAACGAAAACCTTAGACATTTCTAGCACAGCATTTCCATTTCTCCATGGTATAGCCAAATGTATTCAAAGAAATGAAGTGATCAATTTCATTTTTGTGTACTCTTTCGGTGTTGATCGAATACTATCGAACACGTTAAAATGTAGCCACTGGTCTGAACGATTCAAATCCGTTTGCTCTATGTCCTAAAGGCTAAGTGGTAATTTCATAAACTCCAAAGCAGGGTGACATGAGTTCGAATCCCTCAAAAATCACCAGTTCACTCAAGACTGAGTGAAAGCCATGCACTAACAAGTGCCAAACTAGTATGAAACCTAGGTCGAAAAAAGATAAATACTTCCATAAATACTATCATTAGTATAAGTACTCACTTTTAACATCTTGCATTACAACAGAACAATATTCTAATAAATCAGCCAATAAATTTCTCGGTTCCATAGATGGTGCATACAGTGAATCCATGTCCAAATTGAGGTTATTATTATTACTATTAAACTGTCCATTACTAAATGATGATATTGTATTCAACCGACTACTATTGACACTTTTAGTTGAATGATTTAAAGATGATAAACTTTGTGGGCTGGAAGATCTACTGTTAATACTACTACCATTATTATTATTGGTAGTATTAGTAGTGGTACTAGTTGTAATAGCCGATACAGGGACAGCTTTACCCGGTGAAACTAAATTTGGATCCAAATAACCAACCATAGATTCAGTACTAATAGCTTTTAAAATTCTATAATCTGTAAAATGAATAAAACGAACATATAAAACATTGTAAATAATGAACAGGAGGTAAATTGAGTTGTTTGTGAGAAATTAAATTTTACTGTTTAAAAAAAAGATTTCATCAAATCACAATAACATCACTGGCGGCCATACCAAAACATGTCACAAGTCCATGAAGTCACTGACAAGTGGACTGAGACGATAGCAACCGATGGTTAGAGACCTAGAATGACATGGCTCGAAATCGTTTGCAATGACACAGGTGCATCCACTCTTTGTGTTCTCCCAAATTCTAATCTTCGGAATTCTCCTCTTTTTTTCTCTTTCCAAATTTGTTTCACTGCATTATACTCCTTGAATAACATCTTCAAACCCTAATCTTTCCGATTACTGTTTATACTCTTACTACCTCTACCACTACGGGATTTGAATCGACAACTGCATCTCTAGGCTAATGTGGTATGGCAACTGGAACTGATGTACGTACATAAGAAGTTTTACGTTATTACTGACTGACTGATTAAACATTTTACTGAGACATTAGAAATACATGTTGAGCAAAGAATTACTTTAAATTAGTACTTCATTATGAATCTTTACATTAACATTCAGAATTTAGATTTTACAATTAAGTATAGTAAAATCAATACAGGTTAGTAAGGAATTAATTGACCAATGTATTTTAGCAGTTTCGTTAAAGAGTAAAATAATTTAATTACTAATTAAATCAACGGATATTAAAATGAAAATTAAATAAAAATTACATCTTTTTACGTAACTAGTGAAAAGAGTTAATCGATTGACCAATAGAGCATTTAGTTTTAATTTTGAATCCATTAATTACTATATTTTGGTAGAAAATATTGAGATATTCTATTCAAGTGATTAACTATCATTAAAGTTCATCTTCCAAGGTAATTGGAAAGTTGACAAAAGGAGTTTGTTTTCGTCTTCTTAGCATTTTTGAAGCATTTGATAAACATTGGGAAAAACCAGAATTATGAGTACAAAAAAGAACTTGTACAACTTCTCCTTCTACCATGGTGTTAATCTCTCGTAAGCTTCTTTTCTTTTCTCGTTTCACAACAATTCCTTTCATCTTCTTTTCTAAAAACCTTTGAACCTCAAACTGATTTGCTTCTGTTTTTTCTATGATCCTCCTGACTACAATTCATCTAATGTTCAACATTTAATCGTGCCACTCTGAGTCTTCTTTTTCCAATTATAATTTCTTTATCCGTCTTCATGATGAATATTCAAGCTCTTAATTATAAAATTATTTGTTTCCTTATCAAAAATAACATTTACAAACCTTTGTTCATTCTACTTCGCAATTACCATGTTTAGCAAAAACGTTTTATCATCACTTGCGATTGGACAGCTTTGATAATGAATTCGTCGCAAAGAGAACTCTTATTTTAATTGTGAATCTACATACGGTTATGTAGTACTATGATGGGAAGCTAATTAAAATAAAGAATTTCTTCAGCCAATTTGAATATTTAAATATAGATATCCGGCCATAACTGATCAATCAAATGATGATGCTTTAATTGGAAATGGAGGATCTAAGTATTTCGCTGGCATGTTTAGTGTGAAAGTACTGATTGGTTTCATTTCAACTAATTAGTCCTATTGAATGATTTTAAGTGTTAGACGTTTTCCCTACGCGTTTCACATGAACGTATTTAATGAGATTGTGAAGATATTTCACATGGTAGGCTAACTATCTAGACGACTAATGAGAACCAGGCAATACTGAACTGTTGCATATAGACATCGAGTTATATCTTTACGTTATTGTTTTGTGCTGTGTTCTTCTCGAATGTTCTTTCATTGTCATTTATGTTTTGCATTTTGGTTTCCTTTTGTTTACCTCTTTTTACTTATAATATATGGAAAACACAAACCAAACCAACAGACTACTACTATTTGACCAGACTAAATATTGTTTTTCTTTTAGTTAAAAGATATTGAAGTGATTAATAGCAGGATAAGAACAAATGTATTTGAGATAAGTGAGATCCCAATACAGAGGTTTAGGTCCGATTTTTATGGATTAAACATATCAAAATAAAAAATATCTTTGGACTAGTATTTTATTGCATACAGAAAACATTCAGAGATAATAATAACAATAACAATAATAAGAAGAAGAATGGTAATAATAATGTGACGCTTTTACAAAATAAAGAATTCTGTACTCGTCTTTGGGTCACACGTTTTGTAGTAAGATTTAGTAAAACCTGCAAGATCTTGAAACAAAATAATATGAAGCAAGGTTAGAATTTAAAAGAATTATAAAACTGAATATACATTATGATTGATGAGGTAAAAAGAAGCATGCCCTTATTGGCTTCGCTGAAATTCCTCATTTCATTATTTATTATTCATCTCAAACTTTGTGTTCTTTTTATTCTGAAAGGAATGGGGGGGTTGTGTAGATTGTAGTAAATTTAACAGCTGAATTCACGGAGTAATCAATGTTAGACCAATATTGAAAACATGGAGAAACTGGACGTCTGTTTCGTCCCCGCACGAAACTCCTCAGCACTGTATATTTACGATCTCGCACATGAACGCCTAACCTTTAGACCACTAATCCGGCATCCAGTGGTGTTAATGTCTAACTTCAATCGATCCATGACCTGTGCAGCCAGTCATCCATTGTTTGGGGTGGATACCTGTCGTTACCCGACACAGGTTGGACTCCAACTCACAAGAACTACAGAAAATCCATCTTGAAGTCAGTCACTAAAACGTACATGATTATTATCAGAATGGGGGTTTGGTCGAATGTTTCAGAAGATAACTGACAATTTCTTTCTATTTCAAAAACACAAAAATTACTGAGTATCTCGCTAATATCTTTTTAACTGAAAACTTTTATGGCGGCTTAGTGGTTAAGACGTTTTGCTTTTAGCCACTAAGTTCTTGATTCGAACTCCACTTTAGCTGCTTTGGTTTGGTCAACTAGTTAGTATCTATCATTCATCCTCATACTTAGATAGTCACTTATACCCAAGTATATATATAAACTATTTGTACAGCCCCTTCCAAAACAAAACAGCTAGGCATACAGTATTCAGGTTTAATCAACTGAATAGTGCTACATTTCCACTATACAATTAAGTACTATAACAATTAAGATAATAACTAGTCTAACCACCTAAAATTGCTACAAACACACAATTTCATTTCATTAAATTAAATATCATCCAATTAACAATAATTTGAATATTATGTCAACAATCAATAAACATTTTCCAGAAAGCATTCAATATGTTGTATCTTTTTAAATGGGTTGTTATTTAAGAAATTTGAATGTTACTGTTCCTCAGGTGAGCTTTTACAACCATGGTAACGTAATATACATGTTATGCAAAAGAAAAATAAAGGTTTATCTGTAGTTTACAATAGAATGTGGAAATGATTGAAAAATTGTAACGAGGACAAAAGCCAGAACAGAATAAACGAAATACAATGATCTATAGAGAAAGTTATACAGAGTACATACAATTAATTTCTATGTATTTTAAATCACTCTAATACTCAATGAATATAATTATTGTAACAATAAACTGATACGATAGAATATTGAAGATGAAAAAAATATTGAGCGAGATTTGTTGTGTATTTTTGGATAGTAATGCTATGTTTGACGAGATTACCATATCTGTGAACGGAACGAAGACCCAACGACACAATGACCACACAACCTTACTATTCCGATGCGTCCCAGCTAACTAGATGGAGAAGTTCAGATCAGAAGAAAAATATATTCCACAAGCAGCCAGAAGCACAAATAACAAAAACAAGCACAACTCAGGGGTATATATACAGCACGAAAGTGTTCTTGGGAAACGACACAAAAGAGCATATTAAAAGAGACAACGAACCAATGATATTTAAGGTATTGCAAGGTGGGAAATACGATACAAAAGTGAAAATAGGCGCTAAGGCGCGAAAACAAGAAATCCGAATCCCCAAAATAAAATTGCAAAAATGAGACATTTACCAGGTGAGTTCTAGGGATCTAGCATTCCCAACAAACAACTAGTGGTAGAATCTAGAATACAAGTTTCGTCCTAATTGAGACGCATTAGCTGAGTGCACTTGCAATGTAGTATGGTGGTTCTTGTGACTCGGTAGTTTAGTTGACAACGTTTTGGCATTTGAAGTGATAGGCAATAAGTTTGATTTACGGTGTAAACATTAAGATTTATGTGCAAGTGAATCTAGCTGACGAATCGTAAATAGGACAAAATATGCATTATAGACGTCCACTATTGGTCACTACATAGGAATATAAATCACTTGTACCAAAAGATAATATACAGGCATCTACTCAATACTGATAAAATTCCACCCTGAATATCAATAACAGGTAAACACAAATCCATATTTTTCAGAAAAACCAAAATATACGGTAATCAATATCTCGCTTTATATAAGTTAATTATATAACAACTACAAAAGTATGTTAACATGTTGTGTCTAACAGTCAATTACTATGTATTATAGGTTCATTTGTTTAATAAAGTATTATAAATGTATGGAGTAGTGGTTTAGCAGCTCAATTATTCAAATTCCAATGAACAAATCTTAAGTTTAATGCAACTCCAACTCCCATTGTTTGATCAGCTGGATAGTATCACAAGTTTCCATACAATGTAGCTTAAAGCAGCGTGTATAAATTTGTATCGGATAAATGAGTTACATTATTATTATTTTGAAAATATAAGCATCGCAAAACGAAATCACTTAGTGACAAGACATCCGAGGAAGAAAGCCTCTTTATGGGAATCGCAGCAGCAATCAGTATAGAGGTTTCCGGAAATACCATGATACGCATTAGAAACGATAAGTAGTTGATATAATTATGAGTAATTGTAACTTATTATGGTCTCTAAATAATCCAGGCAACAAATATAACTGCCCACTACTAGAATCTTGTGCCTTACTAACCTATATCAATTCTAAAAGTTAACACCTGACTCACGACTGCGAAGAATTACTACTTACCCAAAAATACAATTGTTTATAAATATTTCTAACCAGCTTTGAAATATAATTGGAAAAAGTTACAAAGTTCACGTAGCTTGATCCAATTATAGGTAATAAACTAATCAACATGATTATTCAAATCATATAATAGTATGAATGAACTCTAGGGTTCATAAACCCCTAGCTTATTGTTAATCATAGAGTTAAATGTTGATTTCTCAACCAAACTACATCCTACAAATAATACTTCCGTTTAATGATGTGCAATGAATTTCCTGTAAGATTCAGTTATTATTATATCATCGGTTAAAACAAGAAATGTATTAAGTAGGAGAAAAAATACAACGAAAGAGATATTCACACATACACACATACTAAATATTCACTGTCCACTTACCTAATATAGGATCTGGGACAATTATACTTTCTAAATCTCTTGAATTATTTGTATAGTGACCATTGGAATAAGAGAGAAGTATAGCGAAATGATGACTACTTCTAGCTAATTCATATAGACATAGCAAAAGTGAATCACATGGTCTGAAATGAGATGAAAACAAAAAAGTCAAGTTAAATGGATAAAAAGCTGATATAAATCAATGAATTCATGAAAGATATTTTTTTAAGATGACTGAGTAGTAGTAGTAGTAGTAGAGATTTTCTCGACAAGAGGTTAGATCCCTAATCGTTAACTGACATTACACTAGAGAACTATAGGGAATTATAGTACACTACACTATGCAACCATCCACTTTGTATTGCTCTATGGTTGTGAAAAATGCACTATGAAGGTGAAAGACTTAACTCATACAGAATCGAACCAATGAGTGAATAAGTAAGGTGGTGTATGGAGAGAGGAAGCTGATCGATGATGCTATAGAAAACTCAATTGATTGTGATGATTAGGACGAGCTGTAACAGGTGAGATTTATCTACGTCGAGATTGAGACATAAATAGTAATAAAGAGCGACCAGCAGAACATTGCAAACTGATTAGAAAAGTAGAGAGTGTGAATTACCGGGTGCATATCGTTAAGACGAGACGGCTGTTTGAATGCTTCTTGGTCTTAATTGGTTGTGTTTAGTCACAGCCAGTATTTGATATAAATAATAAAATTACTTGAACTGTAACAGACGAAAACTCAGGTGGGAACAACTAATGTATCACAATACAGAATCTCTTGGTAAAATATGGGAACTGTACATTAAATAGCTCATTTGGAAATTTCCATAGTTTATCTATCACATTTTGTATGATTCTTCCAGGTCACAATTCCTTACTATTTCCGTTTCTGTTTCCTCTTCAACTTCATCTTCTTAGCCTTATGATGCCAGGCTTTCTACTTTCGATTGGTGCTACATTCTACTTATATCTGCTGACATAAGTAGCACACATCACAGAGCTAGCTGAAATGTAATTTTTCATTCAGTATTCATGACGATGAAAATGAGATTGTTTCATCATTTAATCTCATGTATATACGAGGTGCTTCTTACGTAACTCCTATAAAAATATTAGGGATTTCGGATTTTCACTGATAGTCTAGCAGCTGACTATGAATGTAAATTTAGTTCAGATTGTTTTCAAAAACATAATAATACGATGATAATCATAATGAATTTGTTCTATTGTCGACTGGTTTATAACTACTAGTTACTTTGCATAAAAATATTTACAAAAAGAGGGAAAACAGTACACACTATTTATCAGTCGACAAGACTTTAGCGCAAATACTAGAATGGTGGTGATTAAAAAATGAAATTCAAGTGTTTTACATCAAGAATAGTAATGAATGAATAGATAAAGGTATAGCACAATATTTGTAGCTCATGATCAATATTACAGGTACCTGGTTAACTAATGGAAAAATTTATTTACCGTATGATGGGATAGGGCTATTCGATTAAATAAGAGTTTTACTGAATTAGGTTGAGACGCATGAAGAAAAAATTCAACAGTCATGAAAGTACTTTTAAAGTCAAAGGATAAATTTAACAATCTACGTACAAATATCAACAGGACACACAAACTATATATATATATATACACTACGTTTCCACCTTAAGTTTCACTTGTTCGGCACGAGCTAAAGATAACTAACAAAACAATGTATATAGTCTAGGCGATTTAAACTTACACCAGAATAGTCAAGCGATGAATATTTAGAATTAAATGCCAAACCTTAAATTTCTGAAATAACAACGAAAAGGATCTTTGAAAAATGTCTAAATTTAATAATAACGACTGATATGCCCTTTGTTAATAGAATAAGAGAAGAAAAACTTTCTAAGAGGAAGGAGATGGCTGTATAGATGGATGTTGGGACGTTTCATGTTGCTAAAATCGCATGCCACAAGGCCAATGGTAAGTGAAAAGTATAAAGAAGATATGTCACTGGAGTAAGTTACCACCTGGATATTATTGTCCAGACCAGTTTACTTACCTTAAACTAATAATCGATGCAACATCACCGGAGACCAAAGTAGTGAACTGAATTAATAGTATGGAAAGAAAAATATATAGATACATGTATAAAACAAGATCAAATAAATATTTGAAGACGATATTCATCATTATAAAAACTGACAATATGTAAGTAGGTAGGTAAAGATTACCTGGTTGGGGTCAGTGCAATTCTCATAAACCACAGTTAGAGATGAGAGATAACGGGTCAGAGTCGATCGAGACAGTACAGATAAATTCACTCACTGTTGAACTGAGACATGTAGGTAAGTGGATGCAAACTACATGATTATAGTCCGTGTGATTATTGTAACCAATGGTTACAGGCTTTGGGTGACATGATTTAAAGTCGTTCCTAATGGCGTAGGTTCAGTCGTTCATTTTTTCCCTCTAGATCTTAAGTACGTACGTACGAAGTCCTACTTTGTTACTGACTGACTGACCTTATAAATATTTTTCCTGTTCCAGTAATCCATAAATATTTTAAAATCGTATCTCCGACGCTTAATCTTTTCTAAAGCCACTATCACTGTTATTAGTTGTGATATCTTGGCAATTTCTTCCCTATGCGCTAATGCAGTGTGGTTTGTTAAACCGATGTCCCATGCAATGTTCTACGTTGATTATGAGTGACTGATACATCAACTGTATTAAATATAAAATCTCCCACATATTTTTAGAGAAGCGAAAAAAATAAGTGCCCATGTAAAGATTGAATATGTATTATTTCTAAAAAATTCAACTTAAACCGGCCAAAGAATGGATTTGGGGCAAGGGGGATTATTTTACGATGTTTTCACTACCGCGTTATCCTCTCGTACTAGACAGTTTGTTCAGGCAATAATCTGTTAAATGTAGCCTAGATAAATGAAGTATTCTCTTAATACAGCACGATGAACCAAGAAAATCATGTGAAGTGTACTGGAATAAAATTTGTGCACACACAAAAATACAGCAGAAAGAATGAAATAATGACTTACAAAAGATGAAAAAGAAGATAGAATACCACCAGAATTGTCACGTTGTTGTCCAAACTTTCTACATTGTAATATGAAAAAATTATAAATAACTAGTGTTCAAAACATGTTAAAGAAAATCAAAGTACGGCTCGAATAAAACTGAAAAGATTTTAATAGACTTTTCTGTCTATCAATTTCATCGTCAATGGTATTTATAACAATTGTGTTTTAAAAAACCGAAGATGTAAAGATACTTAAAAAGGGTGATAGAACAGAAACAGAGAGGAATAAATAAAGGTCTAACATGAAGACAATTAACTGGTAAGAAAGAGTTAAATAGGTTGGTCTCCCTAAGATTTAGGCCAACCTGAAAAAACTTGATTATAAGACTTCAACCTCTTTTAATAATTAGAAAATTGGAATTCGGTCCAAGTCAAGAAATAAAAAATGCCTTGTGGAAGTCAATGATCAAATACACAGGTAACATGATGAATTTAATTTAAACTAACTCATTTATCAGGTATGAATGATTAATGATATTACTGGATTGCATAAACAAAAATAGGTGGAGCGGGTCTCAAACTTGGGATTCAGCGACCAGAAATTGTACGTTAGGCTGCAGTTGTGCAAACAAAATATACACTATTAATGTCTATATTGTTATTAATAATTCTAAATCCTTTGGTAACATGATTTGAACTTAATAGAAGTGAGTGATACAGTTTATAATAATTTTTGTTTGTTTAATTTTATCTTTATTTTTTCTAATTTCACTAGTGTTTTACTTCATTTTCCCTTGTTGATCTTAAATGAGGTAATGACGATTAAAATCAAAACGTAATTTTATTTGTTCATTTACTCCTAACTAATCCATTGAATTAAAAGTACTTTTATCTGGAAGAAAAGTTGGTTAGTCAGTCAGTAGGTTACAGGTCTGAAGCTCGAACCCAACTATTTTGGTTTAAGGTGATAGATAGTATCACTAGTCTTCACCTACGCAATTTGCCAAATGAGTTACATAAATTCTGTTTACAACTTATCTTTATGGTAATGGCCTTTCTTAGAATAGATGGGTGTGGCGCATAAACATTTGGCGCAGTGTGGCGCATATATATTTGGCGCACTCTTGTATCAATATTTATGTGTTCAAATAAATAAATAAATAATAAATAAAGAATAGATAAACTGAGACTACTAATCATGTCCAGGATGCGCGGTATTGTTTTATTTCGGATAAATCAGTCGGATGCACCTGTATCTGTGTTGAAGTTTACATTAAGAGTCGAACTCAGTACCCTGCCCTTCAATTGGCTAAGTGATATCTGCTGAGCTACTGAGTCTAGATAGGCACTAGTTTTTTCAACGGACCGGTTCGTTGTATGGGCTGTCCGCTTCTTTAATTATACCTTCATTCAACATCTGGACTTGTCAATTTAACTCAGCCTCCAAATGCCTGGGAACACAACACCTTGTAAATATGGTCACTTGATCATCTTTAATTAGGATTTCATGCCTTACTTTGTCACGATCCAGAATTCACGGCCCAGAATAGAGAACCAGAGCAAAGACCAGATAGTGCTTAATTCCACACAATTACAAGTAGCCACTCCCAGTGAGTCCGAATATAAATCAATGTGAGGAAAGAGAATCATATATTTAGTAGTCCGAAGGCTGAGTGTCTGTTTTTCCACGCTCAACGATTAATTGTATATGAGTTTCACGATCACATATTAATAATATAATATTAAACAATTAATAAATCATTTTTACCATATGCTAGTCAACATCTACAAAAACAAAGTTATTCAACAGTAATATTTACATGTTAAACTCACAAGTTAAATTCAGACAATGCAAGAGCGACAGTAGACAATATACTCTGAAGGTAGGATAATAAAGAAAATTTAGTATTATTATCATGAAAAGATCGTTGTTTTTGATTAACTGGGTTGATCAGATGTAGGCGAAATGAAAAGTGAGATGTCAACGGTTGAACACAATATTTCCCTTGACTTCCTAAGAAGACAAGCATACACTATTGGTTGAAAACGCGGCTTAATTATTCGTGCATGTATTTTCGATTCGGTTAGTCAATCATAAAGTTTCCTGCTCACTTTTAGTTTTCTCATTCATGTGACTAGTTGGAATGGTTATAGGATGTTTGAATATCAGTAGCAGAATTGGATGTCCGTACAACATAACAATTGCACGTCGAATGTACATCTCCAATTCAACGAGGAATTTTACAGATAATCGAATGAGACCCTAGTTGGATCTCCACTAGGTTTACATTTCGCTTACTACTTTTTGGCAATACTAAAGAATGACCTACTTAGACACGAGATAATCAGAACAGATGTAACCAATGAAGAAGAGTTACGTGCTATCCGTACGTTGCTCAACAAGAAGATGCATTAAAATTTACCAACAAACATATGACCCGGAAAATAAGACAAAGTCAGGTTGCATTCCTGCAACTAACACTTAAATGAAACAATCAGTGAAATAACAACGGACAAAAAAAATTCTGCGGACAACATTCACTGTAGCTAAACTATAAACACTATTCTACAACCGACCAGTCGTTCGAACCGGAAAGACAGAATACCTTAATTCATCTCAATCATGTGGACTTACCGATCTAACCCTTGTAGATTCAGCTACATTCGGTACACAGTAAGTTAGTCCGTCATCTAATATCCAACTATTGATCTATCTTGTTAAGCAAGAGACGATTAAAATCAATCAAAAGCTCTATAATGGTCCATCTAATTGATACGAGACACAAAGTGGATATCAACAATTCAATTCAAATCATCCACTTGATCTCACTGAACATGTCATCTAGTCTGCGTATACCGTTTACAAGTAATTTTTAGTAAATTGTTACTTACATTTAACAACAGTTCATCTTCTGTCTGCTGAATTAATGTTTGAAATAAATTCAATGACTATAGAGAAAATAGAAAAAAATTCGTAAAATATCAAATGAAACAGCAGGTTGAGATATGTTAGGTGAAAAAAACAAATCGAATTAAGTGTATAGACACACTGTCTCCAATCCGTTGAAAACATTGAATTATTTATTGGTTAGTATGTTGGGTGGCTAAAAAGTGTGACATTGGGTGACACGATTTCCAATTTTACAAGATAGTGCATTATTATGATTACTACTTCGACTACTTAGATGCTCATCTTGATAAATTCGTCTAAATGTGCTAGTGTAGCATGGCATGTTCGGCTAATATATATTTGTACCTGGCTCTATGTTGGCTATGATTGAATGATTTATTATGATGATATCATTATTACGTAAAATGAAAGTCACTGTAATTCATTTATACTGGACAGAGATATTTTCGACGAAATGTAACATAACTTGATAAAAAATTCGTTAAAAAGAGATCCTTTCGCTGAACTTCATGTTTTTTAAATGTAACTTGGTTTGTTTTTTAGATAAAAAGTGTTAAATAACATTTTATTTATTTGAGCACATAGATATTGTTACAAGGGGGAAACCAGATACATATGCGCCACACAAATCTCATTTGATCTGTGTGAGGGCTGTGATACTGACCAGGTGCCCAAACCGAAACAGATGGTCTTCTGAAGGGGCCACATCCCGAGCCTTTGACCTAAAGGTCTGGTCCACAAGGCAGTGAAGCAACGTAAGGAGATGCAGTCTCATGGTAGCCGGTGACCAATAATTGATTCATACGCAATTTGTCCCCTCAGGATACTGGAGCCCATGTGCACCATTGGTTTAAAATCAGGGTTTCCCAACTCCCCTAGGTGAACTCTCCATGTCCACCAACCCGGTTAAAGCGCCGGACATTCGCTTTCCGTCCTCTCAATTTCGTAACCAACACCCCCGCCACGAGAAGGCAGTGAGTAGGACTTCCCTGGCAGAGGCTATATACGCGTGGCCATGTGGGAGCATTTCGAGAGGGAGAGCGGACTCTCCCACTCTCGGCTGTACCTGGTTATTTGGAGACGTTAATTAACAGTTTGGTCAGTTAAATGAAGATATAGAACATTCTTAAGATTATCTATTATCATGATGAATAGCACCGTACAAAAATGATATTTTTCATGTGTTCATATGATAATATTCGTATTTTGTTCATATTTACTTATGTTCATTGATGGATGGACGTTGAATATCCAGTTAAATTGAAATACAACAAAGTATTTGATAGCAGAACGCAGATTATATTAAAGTACGTTCCTTAGAGGATTGTGTTGGAACACGCTGATTAACCATTTCTTAGCTAATAAGTGCTAGTGAATAATTGGAGGAGACTTTAAAATTTTAGATATACTAACGTTTTTTTATTACTGTGATTGTTATTTTCACTCAACTTAATTTATTTGGAACAGAATTTCATTCCTGTTCGACCATGTTCTGATTTGGGGACTAGTCGAATGAAGTAGTGTCCGAAGAATACTAAGCAATAAGAGTAGCTGGGTCGTATAAAGGCAGATCATGACAGTATTCAGGTCGGATGAACAGATAATAAAACACAATTATTTATTGTAATAAGAAATCGGAACGAAGATTCTTTATAAACTCCACACAGTTTCATTAAACAGATTGATAATTAGGGGAGATTCAATAAGCATAAACAGTGGATTATCTGGATAAGAAATAACTTCATGAAATTATATTCGCCTAAGAATATTAAATTTGAGACAATAGGATTTAAAAGCTTACAACCAATAGGTTGAATTTTTCGCTAGCTAATATAATTATGAAATCCCTATCCAAAAGTGTTCGACGAATACTCAAATAGCGAAATACAAATAAGCAAACGGTTACAGGATCATTTTGTCGATTTAATTATATCATAACTGATATATAGACTGAAGAAGAACTAAGTCTGAGATTAATACGCTGTTCTACAATATGCAGCAACCTATATCTAAGCTATTGAATAAATAAAAACATGTTTTTTCTATTTGTCTGGAGACCTAGGAGAGTTGGTGCCGGTTCAAAGCACAGGTAAAGGAAGAGGGTTGGGCATAGGGCTAGCAATCGCATGCTGTAAAAAGACACTGCTAAAAAAACGCCAACCAGAAAAAATCGTTGTCTTATCTACCGCTTCCATCTATTCATTATTTATAGTAAACCGTCTTCCAGAACAACGGCTAAAAGTTGAAGATCTGGTTAATTTGTACATTATGTTCATCATCGCAAGTCAATTTTAGTCAGGGTACTGTTAGAAATCAGGAAACCAAGGACATCTGTTTTTTTTCTATTATGGGGAGCTTGGGTTTTACCATGAGATGCCAACCCAGCGGTTCTAAGTGTTCGCTGCTAGACCTGACGGTCTTGGGTTCGATTCTTAGTGGAAACGTGAGTGAATAATACAGAATCTCAACAAACTAGGACAAAACAGCTGTTTAGTACTCCCTAGTCTTAGATGATACACCAACTGAAATCAATCTGTGATGAATACAACAAATAACTAAGGTAATTAAATAAAGTAAACAAGTATAGATTCATATATTCAGATTCATGCCACAGATTGGCTTCATCAATGCGATTTACAATTACTGGTCAAAGAACAACAAAAAACTCAAAAGACAAATAATTTCTTATAAAATAACTGTTGTAAAAAAACTTTTAGACTTGATACAATACTATCTAAAACAAACCATCCAATTCAATGTAGAAGAAGAAAATACTAAACAACTTGGAAATTGTAGATGTTTTCGTACTATCCAAATGAAAAAAATGTGGTGGAACATTGAAGAATAATTCATCATATTAAGAATAAATAACTTACATCAGGTTCGGTATATTGTAATAGTAGACCAAGAAATCTGCATGCAGTAACACCATGATAATATCTTAATTGAGGATTGATCAATGTATTCATGATTAAGTCATAAATACGATCATCTAACAGAATAGGAATAAATGGATTTTTGTTTAAAGATGAAGTAACCTATAAGAAAAGGAATGCACTGTATAATAAAAATTATAATCACGGTTAATATTAGTTAGTTAAGTATCTACAGATAGATTTAAATCTAAACACAATGAACTACTATCATTTAAACGTATATGAAGTTTATAAGTTGATGAATGGTATTTGTTAACTAACAGGTTCAGTTTGTTACTGTAGGAAGTTTGCGGAGGTTGTTGAGTTTTCATAGAATATATTGAGTATTAATCTTAGTTCGTCAACGTCGTATGGTAATAATGATCATGTATTCACACTAGTAGCTTTGAGACGTAACCCTTGGAGTTCTAGTGAGAAGCCATGATCAGTGAAAGTTCAACCGCGTCGGATGTGAAGAAGTTATCCAGTGAAGGCAATGGGAGATGGTCGTCCAATATCGCAAGTCGGTTGAAGTTAGACATGCACAGTACTGGATGCTGGCTCAGTGGTATATACAGAGGTCAAGTGCTAACCCTGAGACCAAAGTCCCTGGGGTTTGATCTACGGCGAGTTCGCAGATGTGCACCACTGAGGGGTCTCATAAAAGGACGAAACAGATATCAAGTGCACCCCAGTTTTTATTGGTTGTTATCACTTGGATCGATGCATGATACAGTCTATTAAGATTTGATTTGATCAAACGAATTTTTCCTATCACCTGTATAAATTGGATCAACTCAATCTGAAATAAGTGATGAGTGTCCATATATAAGCTTTAAAAGTGATTGTATATATATGGAAAAAGTCTCATGATAAAATATGAATAAGTAATAGTAATTAAAGTGTTCAACTTACTGAAGCAAATGTCATCATTGAATTGAATATAAGAAAACGAAGTAATTCTGGTTTATCTTCTCGGACCAGTTCAACGCATAGAGAAATATAGTTCTACATATGATAGATTTATATTAAAAATATATATAAAGTTATTTAAATCATTTACTTAATACAAGGTAGTTTATTTATATTACAGGAACATAATGACATAGATTTGGTAAACAAAAAAAGGATGAGTTGACAACTGAAAACAATATAAAGGCCAAACACTTGTCAGGCGGTAAGAAATCCTTATTAAACTAAATTATATTCATTGATTTAATGTACCCGAATTCTGCTACAATAGATCACAAAAAGATTGCCCACACAAATGAAGCAATGATATTGTGAAAAAAATAAAGGAAAGAGTAATACAATTGATAAATAAATGAACAATGAAAGCACATTATAAGAGACACAGTTCAGTTCAAAATACAGACAAAAAATATTTTTTTCCGTTAAGAGAATTCTTCTTATTTGTATGAACGTTGTAATAGGAAAATAAAACGCTATCACTATTGGCTTCTGTTCTGAGCCGTATATGATAACGTCACATGCTACTGGATTCCACGACCTCCAGGAACCTAAATGAGGAATCTGATGAACCGGCAGATACCAGTCATATACAGTTCTATCTGCCATACCACAAGTCATCTCTTAGATTTTTCCACCCAGCCTCAGCACTAGTAAGCACTGCCTGATGTGTAAGTCGCTAAGATAAAATTCGTAAAAAATGGAAAAGCAAACGAAGTTTATACTTCAAGATGGTGACACAAATATCGCCTCTGTGCCCAAACATACACAATCGAACGTCCACAACGAAGATCAAGAACAAACATTTGCCACTGAGGCTTTGTTAACGTCATGCTTTTTTCTAATTATAAGCGTTTATGGAACCCTACCACTTATGTTTACAGTGCAAGAACAATGTTGAATAAATTGATCACTTCACTATTGGTAAAAGGTTACCTAATGTGCAAAAAATCATTCATTATTGCATGACTGGGTATTCATGAAATATCATAAAGCCTGAGATATTAATGACTTATTGAAATCGAAGATTATTGTTGTGCGTAGCTATTACTTTACAGTTTTTATAATGAGGAAGATGAAGTAACCTGTTTATATTATTATTAAGCCATAAACAAAAGTCATACTTATATTACTATGAATTTGTAAATCGTAGTGTTTTGAATTGAATAGCATGGATAAAACCAATATTAGAAATTATTTCAAGTTAGTTTAGGAACTTAGACATTACAACACACAGTGGCTAGATAGTTAAAAGTTTGAAAAAACCCTACATTTATACTACTCATCAACACCTAACTAATCATACTGGTTAGCTAGAGATGTGTAGATGACATCTTTATCATTATAAACTAAATGAATTAGTTAAAAACATTAACAGTATACCTAACGCCACCAGATTTACTAAAGAGATCAAGTATGCTTACTACAAACTGCCATTTCTTAACTGTTTGATTACAACGAAACATGATGGTTTTCAAAAAATCAATATATTCCGAAAGCCAATACATTCTTAAAAACATCCAGATTACAAGTCAGCACATGGCTTTTCTACAAAGGTGATAGTTGAGAATTTGATAAACAGAGTTCGGAAACTTGTCACAGAACCGAATGAAATAGAAACTGAGTTGAATTTGGCAATGTCTACTTTGGTGATGAATAATTATCTTAGCGACTTTACAAAAAAAATAATAGAGAAGGTCAAAAAGATAAAGGGAAAGAAAAACGAAAAGAATGGATTAGGACGGTAGTGATTCCATATTTCAAAGAGACGTTATTGCTTATTGGCACTCGGGCTCCTTCTAACCCACTCACCAATCAGAAGACGAAGGCAGAAAGCTGATCAGTTCTCTGTCATAATCAGTCCAATTATGACTCAAGACTCATATAACAATATACTAGAAATGTCTGGTCACATAGTAACATAACTAGAAAGTTACGATGCGCACATAAGCTAGCCATAAGTGACGCACAAGGTAGAGGGGAACAATTAATCGATGATAAATTTGGAATAATAAGAACTAACGACGATTTGTGGATCAGATGGAAGCTTGGGAATAAGAGGGTGAAAAAATGTAACATTCAAAGACGTCTACTAATTATACAACCAAAATTAATATGGTGGGAAAAGTCAAAATTAGATTGATTTATTCATTATAAATGTTATTCAACATTAATTCCGTTTTAACTCGATGTGCTGATTATTCAGTGTAGTATTCGGCTTTTTTCCTCGTATGATATTTTATTCTGCATAACATACGGTATTCTTGTATTCAATGGACATGAACTATGCTCAGCATGTGATTTGTGATAACTGTATATATGTGATTTTATTCTAATTATTAATCAAAATCGGTTTACGAATCAATATATAAATGAGTATATTTTCGACTAGGGTCGTCGTCGATGGCGTGTTTTGCGGTTAATAAATCAACATTTATACCAGTTTTAGTGTTTTTACTTTCGCATGATGGGAATTGCAGAGGTCCTTCATTTCGAGTATAAGTGATAAGCGATTCCGACATAACGACCAGATATAACAAGTAGCGTTCAACTGACAAGACATATCAAAAATACAAATAATAATCCTTTGTAGGATTTCCTGAAAAGTTAAACTTCGGCATTATTCGTCCCATAAAACACATGGATATATTTTTTAAATTATCCGAGTAGTCTTTCCAGTAATTATATCGAATAAACTTATGACAGTAAACTTAGTTTGTCTTACCTATATATATATATATATATATATATATATATATATATATCGAGAGACAACTACAGGTTTAAGCATTTAATATTTACTAAGAGGAACGGACTGATGTTTTACATTATAATGGCATTCACTTTGTAATTCCGAGCGAATCACACTCAAAAAACAAGAGGGTTTTGATTAAACTGGAATTTTATCAACTAACCTCCATGAAATCTTTAACATGCTCCGGTCCTAAAAGTATCGCGCTAAGTTCCTCATTTATACTTGGTGATCTACACCTGTGAACGCCACTCAGTAAACAGTCCAACGTCTGAATAGCGTTGGCAACTCGGATGCGATGTCCATCATACTGAGCTGTTTGAAGGCATTGTATAAACAATCTGTTGAGCTGAGGCTAATAAATAAAAAGAGAATTTCAAGTTAAAATATAAACCAGTCTTATAAAAACGAAAGCATCTTAAACAAGGTTACCTTATAGGCTAATTCACAGGCTGTAATATTTGCCAAGACTTTTTAAATTAAGAACCTACGAAAAAAGTCAGATGTTCATTAAACCCATACGAAACAATACAGCTATAATGCCAAAATGATATTTTACCAAATGAATGAAATTCACGCCAAAATTCAAGACCTAACTTAAATATAATTGGTTCGTACATAAATTATAGTTTTGCCGTCGATCACATCGCCAATCCCAGTTGTTATATTATTTTCGATCCATATTAATCAAAACTTAGAATAATGTATTTGATAAACCCTTGTTCTTCGGATGGTACCGTAAGTGATGCTTCGATTGCTACATATGACCAGCTATTCTAATAAGGTAACATCAGTCACTGGAAGCTGTTCATGGAGCAAAGTTACTAAAATATGTAATTTGACAAAATTTTAAATAGTAGCTCTTAAAAGTTTTACCAATCGGCAGTATGTACTTTGAAAATACATGAAATACAACTTGACAATAGATAGTAAAGAAAGATTTTTCAGGCCATGCCACTAGAATGCATGTACGCCTGCTCCGTGTCACTTAAATCAACTTAGCACGAATACAAAGTCTTATAATTAGGTTAACTTAATATTTTTCTTAAATCGATTATGTGAAATCAGCAGTGACCTAAACTTTACACATGTTCGGAAATAACTGGTGCGAGCGACACAAATAAACATGATTGGCATGTACTGCAAAACAAGAATAATTTGAAATTCGTTAGTAGTTGATAATACCTAACCTACATCAGTGGTTTTCAGAGTGGTCAGATGAAACATTTCGAATTAGTTTGAGGCTATCCAGTCAAATGAAAAAAGTTTATCACAGAATAACACCAACAAAAGGACAAACCTTCAGTCTAACGAGATCTTCTGAACTTGTTTTCTCAAAGTGTGCAGACAAACATTTGAGATTGGGCTAAACATTAGAGACAAAAGTAATGAAACATTTACTTTCAGTAGGAAAAAGTCGTCCCAAAATTCCGCTCTGCCTTGAGTGATGTCTTGTCCTTGGAACAGCTTATCATATACCTGAAGCACTTTCTCTTTAAGTGAACCTTTCGGAGTCTTTTTCCTTTCTCCAACCACAGACATCACTGTAACTACTGTATACAAATCACGCACAGCTTAACGACCTAAAATGCGGTATAGGCAAACAAATATCCTATAAATTTGGGATTTATTAGTATAAGCTGATTGGTTTGCATGCGTTCTTTCATAAGGTAAGGTTGCAGTGTTTACATCGTTCTATTTTTAATTAGGTGGTTCATATTTCATGATTATAAGCATGTTGATTCTAAGGTGTTCAACATTTAACACTTGAAGAAGGTCGAGGATGATGACAGGAGGGACACTTAATTGTTATGTCACAGCTCGGTAATCCATTAGGGGTCATTCTACTTAAGCTCTCGCTTTTCAGACTAAATAAACACTTCTATTTCCGGGCCAAATGTAATCTTCGGAAAAACCTTAGCAGCAACCACTTACTGTCACGTAAGATGAGTCAGTATATACAATGATGTTACTTTCACATAATATCTGATAGATTAGGTAGTCGCATCATAGCAAATGTGAAAGGGTAGAGTTGACCTGTTATTTTGGTAGCATAGAAAAAGTTGTGAATAGACCCTGAGCCGAGTTCTATTTCTCTAACAAATTCCTACTAATTGTTATCTTCGGATACGTCAAGTTCGTCCTGTATGGTCATCAAAGTAGCCTCATTACCTGGGTACCACGAAATGGTAGTCCACATCAGATATTATCTGGAGGTGTGACTTCAGTGCTAGCTAACGGTAGTAGATACTATCTAGATGGCGGTGCGTATGTTCTTTGGAAGATTTGATCAGAAGTTGAGGCGTGTTCCAAAATACGGGTCACCAATTGTATTCGAATTGGGATTACAAATTGTAGCATGGTGTCGAGTTGAGATTAACTATGAACACCGCTACCAAGAAACACGTGCCAAGTAAATCAGAAGGCGTAAGAAGCTCGTTCCAAATGACTCCATAGAATCCCCGAGAAGCCAAATACCAGAAGGCAATCAATGGACCAAGTCGATGTTTATTTGCTGGCGATCTCGTGGCATCGAAAGGATACCGAGATCGTGCCAGAATACAAGCTTGGTTACAGAACGTAACCGAATTCGCGCGAAGTTACAATCAAAGTGTAAGTAGAAGAATGGAAGCACAAAATAGCTGTCATTAGCACAGTCAAACAAAAGCACGTTAAAACAAACACTGGTACAGTTGGTCATAATAATAATTGTTTTTATTAAACCAGTCGTGTTCTCGTGATAAATGTGAGTCACTACACGTATTTTCATATGCTTAACACCACCTGTATTATATCCTACGTGTGTAAGGACACAAAACAAGCGAAAAAGAAAAAATAAACTAATATACATGCGTTTTGTCAACATACGGTGGCGTAGAAACAATTTCAGCATGGTGATTTCTGGGTTTTTTTCGGAGAACGTATATTGATACACGTACATGTGGGCAAAAAAATTTTTTAAACAATGATGTTAAAGAATAGAGAGATGAAACAAAATGTTAAGTTAATTTTCACGTGCAGTCGTCATTCAAGTGCTCTGCAAACCCTAGCCTTTCTACAGAACGCGTTGACGTAGGCTGTCTGTTAGATACCACTGAAGTTTCTTCGTGACTGCTTATTATGTAGTGGGTTGCCGTAATCCTGGGGTTTATGTTGTTAAATTGTGCCGGAGGAAAACTAATATTATTAGAGTCTCCTTCTAAATTCGCGACTTTAACACGGCCAATACTGACGTTACCGTTAGTTCCTTTCTTATCGATGATATAGTAATTACGTTTGATGAAGCCTTCATATTCCACGTCGAGAGGTCGTCGTAATGAGCTGCAATATACAAAAACGTATGTGCTATATCGTAGGGCAGATCAAACGAAAACATTAGTTGGCTGCGATCCGGTGGAAACAGGTTGAATTGAACACATCACGTTTGCAAGCCAGTTCGTGTAGGAGGATCCACGAATTCTCCTGAAAGTCGAAGTTCCGTCCTGTAAACGAGTTGTGCTGCAGTGTATCCAACGTCAGCTTTCAATGCGTTCTGAATATCGGGCAACACGAGTGGAAAGGCGTCCGTTCATTGTGAAATGTTTGCAGCTGAAGATGAAGATTTTAGCTGTCGTTCGAAATACCTTTTTGTTTGTGGGTGGCAGCGGTGCTTTGGAATGTTATGACTCTTGGTAGAGTGGTTAGACAACGGAGAAGTTCAGATTCGAACTAGCGTTCACAGTCTGCATTGACAGTAGAAGTGAAGCCGAAGTCTGCTTCCCATCGTTGGACGGAGGCGCGAGCCAGTGCTCCAGCAGTAACGTACTTGATGGCTGCTTCCGGCTTTTATGTGAAAGGGTCCACACACATTGAGAGGCGAGAGCGTCTTCTTCATTCAGTTAGATGTCCTGCTGAACCCAGATGAACATAGTCAAGCCGAGCTTTGGAAGCTGTGATGGAGCTCAAGTAACATTCGTTGTGTCTATCAACGTGGGTTTCTTGCTGTTTACACAGGAACATTCCGACTCCCTCACGTTGTTATTCATACCAGGCCGTCAAAATCGTTCCGAAAGGAGCTTGGAGGTTGCTCAAACAGCTGGATGAGAAAGTTTGTGCAACGTATTGAAGACGTATCTTCGATAATATTTCGGCACAGTTGAACGTTACCACTGAGCTATTTTAGCCGCGGCTGACCTACAGTATGACTGAGATATATTTACAATTGACAGATCAATGAGTGGTGATCAACGTCGGGTCCTTCTTAGTGCAGATTGAGTCCTATCGAACCCGTCAGGGAGTATCAGTTTTCTCACGATTACAGGTACACCTTGTTGACGAGTACCAAGTAGCACGAAAACTAGGTCCAGGGCTTCCTGTTGACTACCCCCAACCACCATCTTACTTCAACATAGTGCACACAATGTTGTGGCACCTAGATTGGTGACCACATCACAACATCGTCGATAGCATTCGATCTTCACTAAGAAAAACCTGACGTACGTGACATTGATCACAACCCAGTGACCAATGTATTGTAGTTATGTCACATAGTAAATTTTCCTTAACTGATCCGATCAGTGTGAGCCGTAGTTTCAGGGTAGTCGAAAACACCTCGTGCTGAAAATCGGTGAAGCTGAGCGAGTCTATAAAGACCGATTCCTTGAGGTTAGAGAAAAGGTAAGGTGTTTGTGACCGATAAACACAGCGAATTATTGGCCTTCGACAGAGCACTGAAAGTACCGTACAGCACAATACATAGCTAAGAATTCACCACTGAACGCGCCATATCTCGATTTGCTGTCCTGCTGTATTTGTAGGGATCATGTGCAAGGGAGATACTCATGTGCTATTCGATGACCGAACAATTCCTAAGTGTATCATGTGGTCGAATTCATTATTGGCCAACCTCAGCTTTTGAGGAGCTAGCCACTGTTAGGAGAGGTTTGTGACGTCATTCTGCCTTGGGGTTCTAGTGATTTCCGGAATCCGGTCGGCAAATGCAACCTGTTCGTTCACAACGTTATTTTGAAATGAGGCAAGGACTGCCTGCACCTGCTGGGGAAGCTAAGATAAGGAAATCTGTCTTAACAGGTCATCGTCAAAGGTTCGTTTACCAATGAACTTTCGCATTCGTAGCAACATTTCAGCTGCTGAGCCATACTGCAGCTAAATGGCATGGAAGAGTTGGTGAAGATTTTGTCGGTCGTGTAGGTCTACATATAAGGATAGGCTATTTTTAGATTTTGTAGGGTTCCAAAACATTACTAGTAAGCATATTAGGTGTGACGCACCTGGTAAAATCGCTCCATAGTACTTTGATCATTGGGAAGAATTGTGCCCGTAGGTCTTTCACGCTGTGCTCGTCGAAGTTATCTTCTGCGTAGCAGAATCAGGCTACAATGTTGTTAGAACAGAACGGCATGAGATGAAATGTGGGAGGCGAAAGAGTCTTTGTGGTGGCATTGGTCCAAATAATTTATGAGTCTATCCCGCCATGAGGAATATAAAACACACCAATAATCGAGAAAAGAGACCTGAAAACATGAGAATGATGTCAAAATATATTAAAATAAAAATACGAAATAACGTTGATGTTTTAACAAGGAACAAACTAACAGACTACGAGTTGATGTACCAGATCACATCGTGCTCACCACCATAGATGCCACAAGTTTGACAACGCCTTGACACGTAACACATTTGTAATCGAAGTACTCCAATTTAATCAAATCAAAAGCCAGAATTGAATATGTATCTTCCCAGTGATCTCACATTCAAGTTTGACGATTGTGTGTTTTTGACTGATACTACTGCAAGCTTTCATTTGACCTATTGGCTACTTTTATGCGACTTTCCACTCTTAACATATTCCTAATTTACCAGTTACTGTATCTCACACTCACAGCCACTGTTGACTAGATTCCATATGATTATTATTTTTCATCTTATGGTGTGATGGGGTCTAATCTGCTTTTATATTAACCACGTATGTAGGAGATACGCGAGTTACAGCGGATGATAATATTTCTACCGTGGACTGGACGGACTGAGCTAGGCGTGTTGTTGCTACATTAAGGACCAGTAAGGATTCAGAGTCGACTCTAAGCTGCTCGTACTGGTTACCGCATCATTAAATTGGGATAGGGACAACTTCGTTTGAATTTCGTGTTCTGGCTGGCGACTTGTCACGCGATTTCTTAACGGGCCATAGGACATAACAATCTGAGTACGTTTTATATTATTGTTTCGCTATTAAGAAGGTAGCAACATTGTCGCATAATTCAATAATTTTGTTATATATATTACAGCACCTCTCTATTTTATTGTCAGAATCATTTCAACGATGAAAATACAAATAGTGTAAAAGGTCAAGCTTCATGTGATTCTCTTTGGATTTCTCCCTTTTAGTCTTAAACGCTAGCTGACTTTAACCATCAACACTTGTTTGTCTGTTAAAATTATGTGCTATCCGATATAATCTCTAATAAGTAGTTGAAATGATCTAGTAAATATGAAACGAATTTTGAGAATGTAGGGTCAGGTACTGTGTCCCACCTAAGTGG